CTCTGTTGTTTTTTCCCCCTTACATCAGACCTTCCTCCTTCGTGGACTTCAGTGTGGGACCCGAAGGTATCGTGACCTTCTGGGAAGCCCCTCAGCTTTTCCTGGATTCATTCTTTCTCTCTCTCTCTCTCTTGCCAGCTCAGGCTGGAGCAATGGGTGTTGGGTGTTAAGCCAGGCTGTCTCTTTTTTTTTTTTTTTTTTTTTTTGAGATGGAGTCTCACTCTGTGGCCTAGGCTGGAGTATGGTGGCGGCTCACTGCAATCTCCGCCTCCCGAGATCAATCAGTTCTCCTACCTCAGCCTCCCAACTACTCAGGAGGATCTCCGCTCACTGCAACCTCTGCCTCCCCAGATTCAAGTGATTCTCCTGCCTCAGCCTCCCAAGTAGCTGGGACTACAGGCACACGCCACCATGCCTGGCTAATTTTTGTGTTTTTAGTAGAGACAGGGTTTCACCATGTTGGTCAGGCTGGTCTTGAACTCCTGACCTTGTGATCCACCCACCTCGGCCGCCCAAAGTGCTGGGATTACGGGTGTGAGCCTCTGTGCCCAGCCTGCTGTCTCTTGACTGACCCCCAGTCTTGAACCCTGGAGTTCTCACATGCATGGATTTAAATGCTGTGTCTTTCTGAGGGCACATTGTGCCCATTTTCCTTCCCTCCCTCTGAAGGGGCTGTTTCCTGTGTTATCGACTTCTCATTTTAAAAATATTATATAAGCCGGGCGCAGTGGCTCACACCTGTAATCCCAGCACTTTGGGAGGCCGAGGCGGGCAGATCATTAGGTCAAGAGATCAAGACCATCCTGGCTAACATGGTGAAACCTCATTGCTTCTAAAAATACAAAAATTAGCTGGGCATGGTGGCGTGTGCCTGTAGTCCCAGCTACTTGGGAGGCTGAGGCAGGAGAATCTCTTGAACCCGGGAGGCGGAGGTTGCAGTGAGTGGTGATCCCGCCACTGCACTCCAGCTTGGCACCTGGTGACAGGACGAGACTCTGTCTCAAAAAAAAAAAAAAAAAAATTACATATATTGACAAATTAGATTGTACCACATAAATTGTGTTTGAAAAATATTTCAAAGAATATTTTTTCAGGCCGGGCGCGGTGGCTCAGGCCTGTAATCCCAGCACTTTGGGAGGCCGAGGCGGGTGGATCACGAGGTCAAGAGATCGAGACCATCCTGGTCAACATGGTGAAACCCCGTCTCTACTAAAAATACAAAAAATTAGCTGGGCATGGTGGCGTGTGCCTGTAATCCCAGCTACTCAGGAGGCTGAGGCAGGAGAATTGCCTGAACCCAGGAGGCGGAGGTTGCAGTGAGCCAAGATCGCGCCATTGCACTCCAGCCTGGGTAACAAGGGCCAAACTCCATCTAAAAAAAAAAAAAAAAAAAAAAAAGAATTTTTTTTTGCTTTTTATCTACTAAATTGTATATATTTATGAGGTACAAAGTGATTTTCCATACAGTGTGGAATCATTCAATCAAATTAATGTATATCCATTACCTCAAATACTTGACTTGTGTGTGTAATGAGAATGCTGTTTTATCACTTTCCCTCATCACCTGCGGATGTCTTCCATGCTAGGGACAGGAAACGCTCCACACTTGACTTTCCCTGATGTTTTCTTATCTGCTGTCAACCCCTGAATATACCCTCCAGGGTTGTGTGTCACCTTCTCTTCCCAGCCTGATCCTTGTCACCCACCTCCCCAAGGACTGTCCTTCGGGAGTGACTTTATGCACAGATCACATGCTCTTCCTGCCTCCTTCACCCCCATAAACCCCCCACCCCAGCCCCATCTGGTTATTTATTCTGTCTTTGATTTCCTGTTATTCTGTTAGTTTTCATCTGAAGGGTAACTGCTAACTCCTTAGTTTTCTGCCTTAATTTCTAAGTCATGGCTACTATCACGGTAAAAGTTTTCCTCTAGCCATGGTTTTAGTTTCATTCTGTAAGTCTTGGTTTTCAGTTTTTTCATTTGAAATTAATCTTTAATGACTTTTTTGACTCATTAGTGACATTAATTCCCTCTCTTCCTACCATACCACCCTCTGTATCCAAGATTCTGAGGTTCTTCGTTTTTTTGTTTTATATATATATATATATATATATATATATATATATATATATATATACATTTTTTTTTTTTTTGAGACGGAGTTTTGCCCTTGTTACCCAGACTGGAGTGCAATGGTGCTACCTTGCCTCACTGCAACCTACACCTCCTGGGTTCAGGCAATTCTCCTGCCTCAGCCTCCTGAGTAGCTGGGATTACAGGCACGTGCCACCATGCCCAGCTAATGTTTTGTATTTTTAGTAGAGACGGGGTTTCACCATGTTGACCAGGATGGTCTCGATCTCTTGACCTCGTGGTCCACCCACCTCGGCCTCCCCAAGTTCTGGGATTACAGGCTTGAGCCACCGCGCCCGGCTTTGTAATAATTTTTACTTAAAACTTTGAGGTTTTCAAATTAGAAGTTTCTTCTATAAATGTATATAGAGCTAATAACTTATTGCTTTTTTTGGCACTACTCTTAAGCTGATATCTTTGGACACTGAGGTAGCCTCGTTCCCTAGGTTTAGATCCCAAATATTTTCACTGTTGCTTCTTCCAGTCTATTTCATGGTTTGCTGGTCAGTTTCTTTTAACTCATCAGTGACCCAGTGGTTGGTGTGGATTTTAATTTAAAAGAATATTTTTTCAATTTTTTGCGTTTGCTGATTTTTATATATGTTTAGTTAATTTTTAACTAGACATGTTCCCTTGATGGGTATGACATTTTTTTTTTTTTTTTTTTTTTTTTTTTTTTTTTTTTTTTTTTTTGAGATAGAGTTTCGCTCTTGTTACCCAGGTTGGAGTGCATTGGCGCGATCTCGGCTCACCGCAACCTCCGCCTCCTGGGTTCAGGCAATTCTCCTGCCTCAGCCTCCTGAGTAGCTGGGATTACAGGCATGTGCCACCATGCCCAGCTAATTTTTTGTATTTTCAGTAGAGACGGGGTTTCACTGTGTTGACCGGGATGGTCTCGATCTATTGACCTCGTGATCCACCCGCCTCGGCCTCCCAAAGTGCTGGGATTACAGGCTTGAGCCACCGCGCCCGGCCTGACAAAATTTTTTAAAAATATAATTTAGATGGATTTTCACATCTCAAGCCAGTTAAGAGTGGGAAATAGGACTCCTTAAAGCACAGATATGACAGGTGGTTCAGATTCCCAAGGCTGACGCAGGTGAGGGTGTATCATTGAACCTGACACGCAGCACTCAGTGATAGTTATTATCTTTGATTTAAATGAATGCAGCTGTAAACGCTTTCTTAGGTGTCTTGTTGATGGTTAATTTCTGCGGAGTTTGATACTCCTTTTGCTGCCTATCACATGACCTTTATCACATGAGAGTCCCCTTGTCACTTGACCTGCTGTTATGTTATGTTTGATTTATTACAAATACCTTATCAGCCTGGGTCTCTCTTTACTCCCTTTGTACACATACATCTAAACATAGAGATCTGGATTATATCAGGATCCCACATCCTCACTGCACCCTCCACCACCATATCTTTCTGAAGTTTTCTAGTCCCTTCTATTCGTTTGTGCTCCTTAAAGCCCAGCCCCTGCCTGGTGTGGTGGCTCACGCCTGTAATCCAAGCACTTTTGAGGCCAAGGCAGGCGGATCACCTGAGGTCGCGAGTTCAAGACCAGCCTGACCAACATGGTGAAACCCCGTCTTAAAAAAAAAAAAAAAAAAGTTAGCTGGGCATGGTGGCGCGTGCCTGTAATCCCAGCTACTCAGGAGGCTGAGGCAGGAGAATTGCCTGAACCCAGGAGGCGGAGGTTGCGGTGAGCCGAGATCCCGCCATTGCACTCCAGCCTAGGTAACAAGAGCGAAACTCCGTCTCAAAAAAAATAAAAACGGAAAAGAAAAAGAAAGTCAGGAAAGGAAAAGATCACTCACAACAATTCAGAGAAAGTTCCTGAGGGACTTTCTAGCTACTTGTTGTCCAGAAGCCAGGCCCTCAGTTCTGTAAATGGTCGGTCCTGGAGACACAGAATTTAAACGGGCACAAAAAACAAACAAACAAAAAAACCTCAGTAATCAAGATATACGGTATTTTAATGTAATAGCTTTAAAAATAAAATCAGTGCAAAAAGAAAACACCCCTGTTGAACAGTGAGTCAGAATTCTGCCTCCTCTTCACCATCACCCCACCCTCCGGAAGTTTCCTCCAGGCTGCACCTGTACTCAGGCCTCCAATAAAAACCTCAGGAATTTCCGGCTCAAGCCTCGGTTCCTCACCACCACTATCACCAGGGGATCTTTTGCTGTTCACCCCAAGTTCAGCCTGCATCCCCTAAAATCCTAGGGACGTGACCAGTCTCCCCCATCTCCGTTCCGTGAGTTTGCCCCAAGCCAATGCCGCTCTCCCCAAAAATAGCGTTGGGGTTCCTTATCCTGGCAACCCTCCTACTCTAAGGGGATACAGGGCCGGTGTCGCCCCTACGCCGGGAGTTCCCGCAGAGCGTCGTCTCTTCCTGAGCCGCATCCATTCCGACCTGGCATCTGCTTGGGGAACGGCGCACCAGGACGGAGACTTGCGTGGTGAGCTCAAGTCACCTGCAGCTCAAGGTCAGAGCACACTGGTCACCCGCACAGCGCCGGGGCCACATTTTCCAGAATCCTTCGGCGGTCCCGCGATGCTCACGAGGTCAGCAGATCTCATTGGGCCGCAGAGAAACTTGTCAATATCACTTTCTTTTTTCTTTTTTTTTTTTTTTTAACAAATGAGAAAAATGTCAATATCACTTTCTTAACATCTTAACAGTGGGCTCCTAAATTTGGTTGTGTGCGCTGTGCAGATGTCAAAGGCACCCTGTGTGGGCAAAGCCGACTGCTCGTCCGTCTCTCTAGCTCTGAAACTACAATCCCCAGAGGCCTCTGCGGTCACTGCGGCTACCCTCCGTACCCTCCTTCAATGGGTAACGTTGACGTCAGAAGCACTTCCGGTCAGCGGGCCCGGCCCGTTAGGCTGGTTGACACTCGCGGAGGCTTCCCTCTTCACGTCTTCTCCACACCTCTGCACCTCGTTACTTGACCTCTGCCTTCAGGATCCGCAGCGTGCACCCGCGTTCCGTGAGTGCCCTAGAGGCAATCAGCGTGCCCCTCTGCGTGTCCCTGTGTTGCTCACAGGGACGCAGGTTGGGAGTGGCAGAGCTGTCTCAGAACTCGGGCGCTCTCCTGTGGGCACCTCAGGGTTACAGACAAACCCTCATTCGGTTGCTTGGGGACAGGGACTTCACTCCCTGGCCCGAGCTTGAGGCTGAGCTTGACGGTGCTGAGTCATTCTGGGCCCCCTCTGGATAGAAATTGGCTTCCTCGGTGATTTCTGTGACATCCCTGATCCCGACTGTGGGGATCTGGCGCGGACTGTGCTTCACCTCGTGGGGAGGGAGTTTCCACCGAGGCCACTCTCTTGTTTATTTTCACATCCCCAGATCTTTCTTCTGAGACTTTGCCCTTCTCCAGGGAAGAGCACTCAGGAGACCAGAAAAATGGCCACAGAGCTCCTGAGAGCCAAAAAAGAGGTGAGAATTACCTGTAATTCCATCTTGGCTGTCAACAGAATGGATCCCATAACCTTTACTTGCCCTGGAGGCAAACAATTGGTATTGGGCAAAATTCATTCACAGTCTTGGAAGAGGGGCTCATTCTAACAGGAGTTCTCCCTCAGCATTCCTTTCTGCTCCGTCACTCATGAAGTAGTTCCTTGTGAACAACACATATGGAGCAGTTTAAATAAAAGTACAGCGACATACATGCTTAAAATTGTTCAGTTATGTGGATGAAGGGCAGGGACCGCAGAGATGCCTCTAATTTCGAGTGGTTGGGGAGGACTCCCAGAAGTAGGACTGTCTCAGCTGCTCCTGACCGGTTAGGTGAATTGGAAATTAGGGGGAAGACTTTCCAGTGGGAGGCAGCAAGGAAGCATAGTTAGTTTCAAAGGCTGGACTCTTGCTACAGTGTGGAAGGATTATGGTGGCTAATGGACTTGCTTAAGGTTTAAGGTTTTTAAATATGCGTAGGTGGCTGGGCGTGGTGGCTCAGACCTGTAATCCCAACACTTTGGGAGGCCAAGGCAGGCAGATCACAGGGTCAGGAGATCGAGACCATTCTGGCTAACACCGTGAAACCCCATCTCTACTAAAAATACAAAAAATTAGCCAGGCATGGTGGCACGTGCCTGTCGTCCCAGCTACTGGGGAGGCTGAGGCAGGAGAATCTTCTGAACCTGGGAGGCGAAGGTTGCAGTGAGCTGACATCGTGCCACTGCACTCCAGCCTGGGCGACAGAGTAAGACTGTCTCAAAAATAAATAAATAAATAAATATGCATAGGTGAAGATACAGACTAGCTATTCACATAGAACAAGGAGGAGTTTGACAGAGTCTGACCTGAATTCTACATTGGAGAGTATTTTCAGCTTTTGGCAATTGGGACATTTCACCCAAAATTTCAGATTCCCTGCTTTTCTGAAAATAAATCTGCCCTGAGTAGCTGGGATTACGGGTGTGTGCCACCATGCCTGGATAATTTTTTGTATTTTTAGTAGAGACGAGTTTTCACCATGTTGGCCAAGCTAGTCTTGAACTCCTGACCTTGTGATCCACCTGCCTTGGCCTCCCAAAGCGCTGGGATTACAGGCGTGGCTTTTTTTTTTTTTTTTTGGACAGAATCTCACTCTGTCACCCAGGCTGGGATGCAATAGTGCAACCAGTCTTGGCTTACTGCAACCTCCGCCTCCCAGGTTTGAGCAGTTCTCCTGCTTCAGCCTCCTGAGTAGCTGGGATTACAGGTGCCCACCACCACACCTGACTGATTTTTGTATTTTTAGTAGAGATGGGGTTTCTCCTGACCTCAGGTGATCCACCTGCCTCGACCTGTCTTGGTCTTGGCCTTGGCCTCCCAAAGTGCTGGTATTACAGGTGTGAGCCACCACCGCACCTGGCCTTACTGTGCAATTTTTTATTTGCTTTTATTTTAATTATTACACTGTGCAGTTTCGATAACCAGGGTAGACCTATCAACTCAGATCTCTTTCTTTTGATGTGAAAGTTCTCAGTAGCGTCCTGATTTGTTTCCAAATGTTGACATGGTCCTTTGCCACCCACCACATGTTTCTGTAATCCTCAGTTTCCCCGACATTGCAGTAACATCACTTTTGAGAAAACTTCAGTGGCTCATTTCAGTATCTGAGATATTTAGGACAGTCCTCATTTCAAATGTTATATCCTGTTGTCTGATGTCATGTTCTGATTATTTAGTCTGCAGGTGTGTTTATTGTTACCACAGGGGAGTCATCTTATGCATACTTTTAACTTAGATACATCCACTTTTTATCTTATTAGAGAAAAAAGGGGAGAAAAACAAAAATAGGTCAGGTCAATTGGTTCCCTTTCCCATTTAATGAATTCATGCCCAGGAGTGAGTGAGAAATGGGAGGACCCACTCTGCCGCTCTCCAAGACTGGCTGGGGAGTTTCTGATATCATGGTCACGCCGGCAAGCCAGTGGTCATGATAGTCATCAAGTATTTTTCATGTGACATGATTCCTCTATCAGCATATCAGCCTTTGCTTCATAATAAACAACCCTAAACATCAGTGGCTTAAAATCACTTATTAGCACAGAATTTGGTAGGCTTGTAGTTTGGGCAGGCACAGGTAGGTTTTGCAGGTTTCACCTGGTCTTGCCATCTGGCATTCTGCTGGGACCACAATTTTGCTGCAGTTGGCTGGCATTTTGAGCAGGGCTGGAGGACTGTCCATGTGTGACAGTCAGGAAACTGTTTGGCTGGGGTGCCCAGTTTCTTCTTGGTTGTCTTCCATGTGGGCTTGGGCTTGGTCACATGGTCTTGGGTTTCTCTACACAGGAAGAGAGCACAGCCCCAGGTAAGAAGTACTTTTATGGTTTTGGCTTTCGTCATATTCACTAATGTCCTTTTGGCCAAAGAAAGTCACATGGCCAAATCCAGTCATCATAGAAGGGGATAACATAAGGGAGTGGATACAGGGAGACATGATTTATTGGTCCCAATGATTCATACTCTTACCATGTGCAAGGTAAACTCACCCCCTCCCCCAAGATCCCCAGAAGTTTTGTCTTCAGACTCAAAAGTCCAGTATCTTTTTTTTTTTGAGACGGAGTTTTGCTCGTTACCCAGGCTGGAGTGTAATGGCGTGATCTCGGCTCACCGCAACCTCCGCCTCCTGGGTTCAGGCAATTCTCCTGCCTCAGCCTCCTGAGTAGCTGGGATTACAGGCACGCACCACATGCCCAGCTAATGTTTTGTATTTTTAGTAGAGATGGGGTTTCAGCATGTTGACCAGGATGGTCTTGATCTCTTGACCTCGTGATCCACCCGCCTCGGCCTCCCAAAGTGCTGGGATTACAGGTGTGAGCCACTGCGCCTGGTCAAAAGTCCAGTATCTTAAGTGTATCAGTCTGGATATGGCTAAAGCTTCTTCAGTGGATCCCTTTTGAGTCAGATACCTGTATACTAAAAAGACAAGTCATTTGTTTCCCTCCACCCCAAACACTCCCAACCTAATACACAGAGACACCCTGCAGTAGACACTTCCATTCAGAAAGGACAGGAATTTGGCGTGGAGGAGGCCTCTTCATTTTGAACTGTTTTAGATCCTTTTGTACTTCCTTGAAAGCTCTGTGGGCTTCCCATGTACCAGATTTGGGAGTGCTCTGTTAGACAGAAGCGGAATCACAGTCAGATAGGCCTCTTATCTTGGCAAGGTGTCGGAGCTGTGGGACAGTGCTCATAAGAATTTCAGAAACCAGCTGGGCCTGGTGGCTCACGTCTGTAATCCCAGCACTTTGGGAGGCCGAGGCAGGCTGATCACCTGAGGTCAAGAGTTTGAGACCAGCCTGACCAACATAGAAAAACCCCGTCTTTACTAAAAAGACAAAATGAGCCGGCTGTGCTGGTGCATGCCTGTAATCCCAGCTACTCGGGAGGCTAAGGCAGTTAAATTGCTTGAACCCGGGAGGCAGAGGTGGCTGTAAGCCGAGATCACACCATTACACTCTCCAACCTGGGCAACAAAAGCAAAACTCTGTCTCAAAAAAAAAAAAAAAAAAAAAAAAAGGAGACTCTCAGAAGCCTTTCTTTCTAGCTTGGAGACCCCTAGGCATCCCTTTAACACTTCAGAGGTCCTAAAGTTTGGGTTTTTGAGCTAAACTCTTGGATTGATCTTTACTCTGAGTTAATTTTTTTGTTTTGAGACACATGCTGGCTGGAGAGACTGAAGATACAAAACAATTTTATTTCCAAGCCAGCAAGTCCTGACTTGTCTGTATTCTCTCTAAATTATGCTTGCAAGCTCTATAATTGCTTCTTTAGCTCTTCTGTTTCTTGATACTATTATATGTCACTAGAAACGTCCAGCTGAAACTTTTAACAGGCTTTCTGGAGATCTCTTTAGCTAAATCCAAAAATTCATCTGGTATATTTTCTGTTTTCCAAGTTTATCCAGGCAATAGCTTTGCTAATATGTAACACGAGTTGCCTAGTTCAAGCTGCCAGAGCAGTTTTCTCACTACTTTTCTAGTCCCCACTAGCAGTTTGTTTACTGCTTTTCTGGCCTGTGCTAATAGTTTTCCTGGATGCTTTCCAAGCCTCTGCGCATGTCCTGCTCCCAAAGCTAATACTGTGTTTTCGGTATTTTGTTATGGCAGCACTTCACTTCTGTGTACCAATTTAGTGACCTCAAGAACTTTAGCAACTTAGGCCGGGCGCAGTGGCTCACGCCTGTAATCCCAGCACTTTGGGAGGTCAAGGTGGGTGGATCATGAGATTGGGAGTTCGAGACCAGCCTGGCCATCATAGTGAAACCCTGACTCTACTAAAACTACAAAAATTAGTGGGAGTGGTGGCACGTGTCTGTAATCCAAGCTACTCAGGAGACTGAGGCAGGAGAATCGCCTGAACCCGGGAGGCAGAGGTTGCAGTGAGCTGAGATCATGCCATTGCACTCCAGCCTGGGCAACAAGAGCAAAACTCCATATAAAAAAACAAACAAACAAAAAGATTGCTGGGCTCCCCGCAATGGAATTTCTGATTCAGTAGCCCTAGGATGGGGACAGAGAATTTTTATTTCTAACAAGTTCCCAGGGAAAGCTGGTGCTGCAGGTTCAGGGACCACATATTGAGCCAGTGCACCAAGCTCTGCTGCCTCTTTTGGGTAATCTGGGCCCATGTTTCTGAGCATCAGGAAGTGCTGACCTCCTGTGACTCCATCTTACAAATGAAGAAGTCTTTTGCTAGAATCCCGCAGCAGGCTTCTTGTGGCTTGTTAGTTATCATTCATTTTTCAGCTGGCAAGCAGGTGAATTACTGTTATACCAGTTACTCCCCCAAGCTACTAGCTGTGTTGCTACTCAGTGGGATAGAGTTGGAGTGGATCATGAGGGTCAGCCCCACAGTGTTTACAATGCGCCCTCCATTGCATGGTTCTCAGACAAACTATGAATTGCTCCAGGGCTGGAGGAATAACTGGTTGTGTAATATGTGTTAAAGTAATATTAATTGCCCTCTAATGTAGCTCCTTCCTTTGAGATTTTCAAGGAGTGTGTGTGTGTATGTTCCGAGAAGGGGTTGTAAAAGCAGATCACAACAGAGACTAGGCAAATGCCTGAATAGTCTTTTTCTCTCCAGTGTTTACTTAGTAACAGTTTCAGACATACAGAAAAAAAACAGGAAGACTTGTACATTGAACACTGACATACCCACCACCTAGATTCAACAGTGACTACCCCTTTCTCATGAACTTCCTGATCCTCAATCCTACAGTGACCTCTCCCTCTTGAAATTTCTCTGACCCAGTGATTCACAACCATCACGGTACTTTTAGGAGCCTTTAAAATACAAAAGCCCCATCCCTGTGTTTATTGATTTGTGGTGGGACTCGAGAATCCATCATTTAAACACTCCCAAGGTCGCTCTGAAGTGTAGCCAGAGAGAGACAAGGGGTCAGAACCAAAGCTCACAGTCATCTGTGCTCTTCCCTTGGGATTAAGTATGTTGGGACTGGCTGGTTTGGAGACAGCTATCAATATAACTGGATGTAGATAGAGTCTTAAGGCCATTTCGTAGTCCAGCCAGTGTAGAATAGTAGAGCTGGTAGAGGACAGGAAATGTAGGGGAGGTTCCCTGGGAAGGGTACTGTGTGCAATTAGTTTTAGAGACACAATGTCATACCCTCAAGGAGTGATGGCGGCATTCTGAGAAGGGGATGCAAAACATCAAAGAGACAAGACATACCTAAATGAATGAAGCTGGTGAGGCAGTCTCCAATAGTGTGCCTTGGCTGATAGACCACCAACCAGCATGAGTCACCGTCAGCCAACTGTGATCCAACAGCAGTGCAGAGCCCAGGGTGGTCAGATGTATGGATATTTTACAGAACCCATAGACTGAGATTTTCATATGAAATCTTCCAACATTTAATTGATATAAACACAAGTTTTAAAGCACTATATGGGTCAAACTAAACCACTTTATGGACTGCAGATTGTACCCAAAGAGAGTAAGTGCTGGGCTGGGAAGAATCCCGGTGCTAAATTTCCAGACTCATTTGGAAATCTCACCAAACTTCCATGCCAAGGACAGTTACATATTCCTGCCCTCTAAAGTACTGCTCTCTAGGTAGCAGAGGTTCATTTGAAACTTTGTTGCTTGTCTAATAATAAATCATTTTCAGTTTTTAAAAATATTTGACTGCTGCCGGGCGCGGTGGCTCAAGCCTGTAATCCCAGCACTTTGGGAGGCCGAGGCGGGTGGATCACAAGGTCGAGAGATCGAGACCAACCTGGTCAACATGGTGAAACCCCGTCTCTACTAAAAATACAAAAAATTAGCTGGGCATGGTGGCGCGTGCCTGTAATCCCAGCTACTCAGGAAGCTGAGACAGGAGAATTGCCTGAACCCAGGAGGCGGAGGTTGCGGTGAGCCGAGATCGCGCCATTGCACTCCAGCCTGGGTAACAAGAGCGAAACTCCGTCTCAAAAAAAAAAAAAAAAAAAAAAAAAAAAAAAAAAAAAAAAAAATTTGACTGCTAAGTGCTTGCAGATTCTGTCATAGACGCCAGGGTAATCACAGTGGACTAGCCATGCACGTGGAGCTGATAGCCTAGTGGGAAACCAAAAAAGAGAAATGAGTATCATGTATTATCTTAGGGTTAAGGGAACACAGTGAAGCAGGAGAGGGGAAGGAAACCCACGTAAGGGCATGGAATTTTACATAGAACGGCCAGTGCAGCAGGCAGTTGTCTGAATCCTTCACAGCGATCCTAATCCTCACCATAACCTGTGAGATGAGCACTGTTATTTTTAGTTCACAGGAGAAGCTGATGTGCTGAGTGACTCATTTAGTGCCTGAGGTCACACTAGTTGGGGACAGAGATGGGTTCCAAATCCAGATAGTGCAGTTCGAGTCCACACTCTTCATCAGCACCCACTTCCCCTCTGTAGGCCTGAGCAGGCACATGGCAGCATTTGGTAGAGGAGGGATTGAGTCCTGCTGTGGGAACTATATATGTTGGTGAGTTATTTGCCCCTAACCCCCAGAGGCGTCACTGCTTCCAGTAGAACAAATACTGAGACTAAGCAGTCTCAGAACATTTTTAGACTCAGCAAGATGATTCTTTACCATTTGGTGGTGCTTGTGTGATGTCTTCTTTTTCTCCCTGCCTAGTGTTAAAACTCCCTCTGTGTAAGGGCTTTGGTTTTGTTTTTATCCTCCATGGCAGCCAGCCTGGGATACTGACAGTAATAGGTGCTTAAGTGATGCAGGCTGGGAAGAGATAGGAGAATAATGGTCTTTGACCCCTTGGTGCCAAGGTCACAATCCAAAGTAGCGGCTAGAAATCTTTCCTGCTTCCCTGAGGGAAGCCTTTTAACCTCTCATTCTTTTTTTTTTAGTCAGAGTTTTGCTCTTGTTGCTCAGGCTGGAGTGCAATGGCGTGATCTTGGCTCACTGCAACTTTCACTTCCTGGGTTCAAGCGATTCTCCTGCCTCAGCCTCCCAAGTGGCTGGGATTACAGGTGCCTGCCACCATACTGGGCTCATTTTGTGTTTTAGTAGAGACGGGGTTTCTCCGTGTTGGTCAGGCTGATCTCGAACTCCTCACCTCAGGTGGTCCGCCCGCCTTGGCCTCCCAAAGTGCTGTGATTACAGGCATGAGCCACTGTGCCTGGCCTTGACCTCTCATTCTAAACTGTGGGAAAGACAGGCTCCTGGATGAACAGAGGTGTGTTTTGTGTTAAAGGCATTCGTGGCATTCAGGGATGTGGCTGTGGACTTCACCCAGGAGGAGTGGAGGTTGTTGAGCCCTGCTCAGAGGACCCTACACAGGGAGGTGATGCTGGAAACCTATAACCACCTGGTCTCACTGGGTAAGAATGGCCTCCCTTGGCACTTAAAGTCTGTCCTGCAGAGTATTTCCCACTCTGAGGAAGGGCTACCTGTGGAGCACCTTTGCCTTAGAATTGGGCTTAAAAACAATTTACCTTTTTCCTCTGGGTAAATCTGGATTTAGTAGAATTGAAAGCAGATAGATTGATTTGTTCATGGTATGGATAACACTGCATTTCCAGGCCCCTTTCCCAAGGCTTGAGGGCTCTCTATTTTGCTCCAAACCCAGGAGGTTTTCATCCACCAAATGTTAATAATACGCTGTTTTTCTGATTGGAGTCACCATTCCTTAGTTAACCCTTCTACTTCAGAGAGAGAACTGTTCATCAGTCTTTTGTATCCTCTGTGTTTCCTCACTCATTTCAGCTCTGAGTTCTAGAATGGCCTCTTGAGCCCATAACCAACAATCTCCTCATTCTCTTCTCTATGAGCAGAAATTCCATCTTCCAAACCAAAACTCATTGCTCAGCTGGAGCGAGGGGAAGAGCCCTGGAGAGAGGAGAGAAAATGTTCTCTGGACCTCTGTCCTGGTGAGTGTCAGTGTGGGGTTGATGGGATAGTCTACAGCTTGGCAGATAGGGAAGGAGGAGACATCTCTCAGATATTGGGAAGAAGCTCTTCTCCAGGCCTCCGAAGCCAAGGGGAAGGTTGCCTGACATGGCCTTGCTTCTGGAACATAATCTTCAATTGAGGGAGGGACTTCCGTCGTTTCCTTGTCTCTTCCCTACACCAGGAAGCCTCTCTTCCTCACTTGGCTTCTCCATAATGCTTAGTCTTTCCTCATTCATAGTCTTCTTTATCACCTGAGCTTAAAAACTATATCTCCCTTTGCCGGGGGCAGTGGCTAACGCCTGTAATCCCAACACTTTGGGAGGCCGAGGAGGGCAGATCATGGGATCAGGAGTTTGAGACCATCCTGACCAATATGGTAAAACCCTGTCTCTACTAAAACTACAAAAATTAGCCGGGTGTGGTGGTGTGTGCCTGTAATCCCAGCTACTTAGGAGGCTGAGACAGGAGAATCACTTGAACCCAGGAGGCGGAGGTTGCAGTGAGCCAAGATTGCACCACTGCATTCCAGCGTGGGCGACAGAGTGAGACTTTGTCTCAAAAAAAACCAACCAAACAAACAAACCTGCATCTACCTTATGAATATTAAGTCTACGACCCTTCTAGATACTTTCTAGTATCTAGAAATTATTTGTATGCTAAGATTATCACCATATCTCCACTTCCCATAACTTATTACACAATACTTAAGCTATGACTAATAATAAAATACATACTCATGTGCCAATGCCCCAGCTTAAGAAATAAAAAATTACCTAAACAGTCAAAGCCCCCATTCCCCCTTCCTTATGGTATGCTATACCCATCCCTCCAAGGGAATGGTTTTTCAGTATTAGGGATTTATAATAAATCTCTAACATAATATATCCCTAATATAATCCCTAATATAATAAATAATAAAACCTGGCTTTGTTCTTTCCTTCATATGTATGAATCGCTAAATCATCTGTATTGTTGTTGGAATATTTTAAAATTCTGTATCAATATCTTCATATTATGTGCATTCTTCTGTACTTTGCTTTTTTTTTTTTTTTTTTTTAAATTGAGATGGAGTCTTGTTTTGTTGCCCAGACTGGAGTGCACTGGCTTGATCTCAGCTCACCACTACCTCTGCCTCCCAGGTTCAAGTGATTCTCCTGCCTCAGCCTCCTGACTAGTTGGGACTACAGGCACGTGCTACCATGCTTGGCTAATTTTTATATTTTAATAGAGACGGGGTTTCATTATGTTGGTCAGGCTGGCCTTGAACTCCTGGCCTCATAATCCACCTGCCTCAGCCTCCCAAAATGCTGGGATTACAGACGTGAGCCACCACGACCGGCTATAGTTTGCTTTCTTCACTGATGCTAATTTTGTACTATGTTGGTATATGTAGCTCTGCTTCATTCATTTTATGGCTATATAATATTGTATTATATGCATAATTATAATACAATTGATTTATCCATTCCATTTTTGTTGGACAGTTACATTTTTACCAGTGTATTCTTTTGACCAATTAAAGAATGCTGGTATGGGCTGGGTGCAGTGGCTCACACCTGTAATCCCAGCCCTTTGGGAGGCCAAGGTAGGCGGATCATGAGGTCAAGAGATTGAGACCATCCTGGCCAACATGGTGAAGCCCCATCTCTACTAAAAATACAATTAGCTGGGCGTGATGGCACGCACTTGTGATCCCAGCTACTCAGGAGGCTGAGGCGGAAGAATCGCTTGAACCCAGGAAGTGGAGGTTTCAGTGAGCCAAGATAGCACCACTCCACTCCAGCCTGGCAACAGAGCAAGACTCTGTCTCAAAAAAAGAAAGAAAAAAAAGGAATGCTGCTGTGAATGTTCTGATAGATGTGTCCTTAGGCACATAAACTCTTGTTTATCTAGGGTATGTACCCAGGAGTAGGACAGCTGAGTGAAAGAATGTGCACCTGTTCAGTCTGATAAGGTAATGCCAAACTATTCTCCAAAGTTGTTGCATTAGTGTTCTAGGGCTGTCACAGCAAAGTACCACACACTGAGTGGCTTAAGCAACACATGATTGTTTGTTTGTTTGTTTGTTTGTTTTGAGACAGAGTTTCGCTCTTGTTGCCCAGGCTGGAGTGTGATGGCGCAACATTGGCTCACTGCAACCTCTGCCTCCCGGGTTCAAGCGATTCTACTGCCTCAGCCTCCTGTTTAGCTGGGATTACAGGAGCACACCACCACAACTGGCTAATTTTTGTATTTTTGGTAGAGACAGAGTTTCACCACGTTGGTGAGGCTAGTCTCAAACTCCTGACCTCAGGTGATCTGCCCACCTCAGCCTCCCAAAATGCTGGGATTACAGGCATGAGCTACCACGCTCAGCCAAAGTTTATTTTCTCACAGTTCTGGAGGCTAGACCTAGAGATCAAGGTGTTGGTAAGGTAGGTTCCCTTTGACGGCTGTGAGGAAGAATCTGTTCCATGTCTGTCCTCTAGCTTCTGGTGGTTTGCTGGCAATCCTGGTGTGGAGGAGCAGTACCCCGATCTCTGCCTTCATCTTCATATAGCATTCTCCCTGTGTGTGTGTCTCTGTGTCCACATTTTCCTTGTTTGTGAGGACATTATTCATGCTGGGTTAGGGCCCACTCTAATGACCTCATCTTTTTTTTTTTTTTTTTTTTTTTGAGACGGAGTTTCACTCCTGTTACCCAGGCTGGAGTGCAATGGCTCGATCTCGGCTCACCGCAACCTCCGCCTCCTGGGTTCTGGCAATTCTCCTGCCTCAGCCTCCTGAGTAGCTGGGATTACAGGCATATGCCACCATGCCCAGCTACTTTTTTGTATTTTTAGTAGAGACGGGGTTTCACCATGTTGACCAGGATGGTCTCGATCTCTTGACCTTGTGATCCACCTGCCTCGGCCTCCCAAAGTGCTGGGATTACAGGCTTGAGCCACCGCGCCCGGCCCCAATGACCTCATCTTAACTAATTACATCTGCAACTACCTTCTTTCCAAATAAGGTCACTTTTTGAGATATTAGGGGTTTCGACTCCAATATGTCATTTTTGAGGAAACAGAATTCAACCTATAGCAATTGCTTATACTCACATAGCATTTATCATATGAGGATTCTAGCTGCCCTGCATCCTTGCTAATACTTCCTGTGGTCAGACTTTAGGTTTTGATCATTTTTTGGGTATGAAATGGCCTCTCATAGTAGTTGTAATTTGCTTAGTATTGAGTTTGAGCATCTTTTTATATGTTCATTCATTGACTGGCCTTGGTGTTTGCTCTTTTATGAAGACTTTTCAATTCTTTAGTTTTTTTCTTCTTGCTGATTTAAATTTTTTAAAATAAATCATTGAGATGAACTCTATTATCAGATGTTCCAATCTGTGGCTTACCTGCCTCCTTTTATCTTTTTTGTTTTGTTTTGTTTTTTTAGACAGAGTTTTGCTGTGTCACCTGGGTTAGAGTGCAGTGGCCCGATCTTGGCTCACTACAACCTCCTACTCCTGGGTTCAAGCAATTCTCTTGTCTCAGCCTCTTGAGTAGTTGGGATTGCAGATGCCTGCCACCACACCTGGCTAATTTTCATATTTTTAGTAGAGATGGCATTTCACTGTGTTGACCAGGCTGGTCTTGAACTCCTGACCTTGTGATTCACTCGCCTCAGCCTCCTAAAGTACTGGGATTATAGGTGTGAGCCACTGAGCCTGGCCTCTTTATTTTATTGAGATGGAGTCTTGTTCTGTCACCCATCCAGGAGTGCAGTGGCATGATCTTGGCTCACTGCAAGTTCCGCCTCCTGGGTTCAAGTGATTCTTCTGTTTCAGCCTCCTGAGTAGCTGGGACTACAGGCGTGTGCTCACACACCCGGCTAATTTTTGTATTTCTAGTAGAGACAGGGTTTCACCATGATAATGTTGAGTCTACAGATAAATTTTGGGGAGAATCACCATCTTAATAATATTGAGCCTTCCAATCTATGACTACTTTTCTATTTATATGGAACTTTATTTTTTTTTTTTCAAGATGGGGTTTCACCGTGTTGGTCAGGCTGGTCTTGAACTCTCGACCTCAGGTGATCGCCTTGGCCTCCAAAGTGCTTGGATTACAGGCATGAGCCACCACACCCGGCCTATTTGGAACTTTAACATCATTCAACAGTGTTTGTTAATTTTCTTTTTTTTTCTTTTTTTTTTTTTTTTTTTTGAGACGGAGTTTCGCTCTTGTTACCCAGGCTGGAGTGCAGTGGCGCGATCTCGGCTCACTGCAACCTCCGCCTCCTGGGTTCAGGCAATTCTCCTGCCTCAGCCTCCTGAGTAGCTGGGATTACAGGCATGCACCATGATGCCCAGCTAATTTTTTGTAATTTTTAGTAGAGACGGGGTTTCACCATATTGACCAGGATGGTCTCGATCTCTTGACCTCGTGATCCACCCGCCTCAGCCTCCCAAAGTGCTGGGATTACAGGCTTGAGCCACCGCGCCCGGCCTGTTAATTTTCTTTTAAAAAAAAAATCTTTCTTCTGGCCGGGCGTGGTGGCTCATGCCTGTAATCCCAGCACTTTGGGAGGCCGAGGCAGGCGGATCACCTGAGGTCAGGAGTTTGCGACCAGCCTGACCAACGTAGAGAAACCCCATCTCTACTAAAAATACAAAATTAGTTAGGTGTGGTGGCACATGCCTGTAATCTCAGCTACTTGGGAGGCTGAGGCAGGAGAATCACTTGAACCCAGGCGGCAGATGTTGCAGTGAGACGGGATTGCACCATTGCACTCTAGTCTGGCTAACAAGAGCGCAACTCCACCTCAAAAAAAAAAAAAACCTTTCTTCTTTTCCTCCTTTCCTTTCCTTTTTCTCTTTTGCTTCTCTTTTTTTCATCCCACTGTATTGCCCAAGCTGGCCTCAAACTTCTGGCCTCAAGCAATCCTCCCACCTCAGCCTCCCTAAGTGTTGGGATTCCAGAAGAGCCACCATGCCCAGCCTTAATTTTCAGTTTACCAACTTTGTGCTACTTTGTTACATTTATTCCTTAGCATTTTAGTATTTTTACACTATTGTGAATAGTATTGTTTTCTCAGTTTCATTTTTAGAATAGTCATTGCTAATATATAGAAATAGAATTAGTTCTTATATATTTATCTTAGGGCCTAAGTACAATGATGACTTCTAGTTGCTTTCTTGAAATTTTATACATACAAAATTACATAATCTGTGAACAAGAGATTTTGTTACTTCTTCTTTTCCAATTAAGATGCCTTTCATCTGTCTCCTTCTCATTTCGTTCGTCCCCTCCTCCTCCTCTAGCATTTTGGCTAGAACATTAATCATATTCTTTTCCCCACTTTACGTGCTGAGTCATTTTTCTCCTGCTGCATTCACAACTTGTCTCATTCTCCCCACCTGTTTGACTATGATGTATCTAGCTGGGGATTTATTTATGTTTATCTTATTTGGGATTTGGTGAGATTCTTGGATCAATGTTTTTCATTAAGTTTGGGAAGTTCTTAGCCTTTTTTCGAGGGAATTTTTTATGCTCTTTACTCTCTCTTTTCTTCCTGAGTTCCCATTAGACATAGGTCGGTTGCCTGATGGCTTCCCACAGGTTTCTGGTGCTCTTTATTTCTCTTTAGTATTTTTTTACTCTGTTCTTCAGTTTAGTTAATTTCTATTGCTGTGTCTTCAAGTTCGCTCATTGTGTTGCACACTCAAATATGCTCTAGTAGTTTGTAAGCTTTGGTTATTTTACTTTTTAATTACAGAATTTCTTTTGGTTTCTCTTTAACAGTTTCTTTCTTTGCTGATATTCTCTATTTGTTGAATCACTTATTATACTTTAATTTTTTTACACACTGTGTATGTTGCATTACTGTTCTTGCATTAGTATAAAGAAAGCTTTTGCTGTGCATGGTTGCTCATGCCTGTAATCCTAGCACATTGGGAGGCTGAAGCAGGCGGATCATGAGGTGAGATCAAGACCATCCTGGCCAACATGGTGAAACCCCATATCTGCTAAAACTACAAAAATAAGCTGGGCATGGTTGCAGGTGCCTGTAGTCCCAGCTGCTCCAGAGGCTGAAGCAGGAGAATCACTTGAACCTGGGAGGCAGAGGCTGCAGTGAGCCAAGATCGCGCCACTGTACGCCAGCCTGGTGACAGAGTGAGACTCCATCTCAAAGAAGAAAACAAACAAACAAACAAACAAAAAAAAAACCTGAGACTGGGTAATTTATAAACACAAGAGGTTTAATTGGCTCACAGTTCTGCAGGCTGTACAGGAAGCATGATGGTGGCATCTTCTCAGCTTCTGGGGAGGCCTCAGGAAGCTTACAGTCATGGCGTGAGGTAAAGTGGGAGCAGGTGCTTCACATGGCTGTAGCAGGAGCAAGAGAGTGGCGGGAGTACATTTTTAAACAACCAGATCCCATGAGAGCTCACCATCACAAGAACAGCACCAAGGGGATAATGCTAAACCATTCAGGAGTAACTGCCCCCATGGTCCAGTCACCTCTCACCAGACTCCACCTCCAACACTGGGGATTACAGTTCGACATCTGGTGGGCAACATGGAGCCAAACCATATTACACCGTAATACATTCCTTCAGCCCTTTGAACATATTTATAATAGCAGCTTTGGGGTCTTTTTTTTTTTTTCCTTAAGTCTGGACCTACTCAGTGACAGTTTCTATCGACTGCATTTTTTTTTTGAGACGGAATTTTGCTCTTGTTACCCAGGCTGGAGTGCAATGGCGCGATCTCGGCTCACCGCAACCTCCGTCTCCTGGGTTCAAGCAATTCTTCTGCCTCAGCCTCCTGAGTAGCTGGGACTACAGGCATGCGCCACCATGCCCAGCTAATTTTTGTATTTTTAGTAGAGACGGGGTTTCACCATGTTGACTAGGATGGTCTCGATCTCTTGACCTCGTGATCCACCCATCTCGGCCTCCCAAAGTGCTGGGATTACAGGCGTGAGCCACCGCTTCCAGCCTTTGACTGTATTTTTTCCTGGGTATGGGTTACTCTTTCCTGTTTCTTAGAAACCTGGATATTTTAGATGTTCTATTGCACTCCCTCTGATACCTGAATGTATTTCCTGCCTGAAGATTGTCATTCCTGCTTTTTGTTTGTTTAGTCACTTTTCTAGACTAAATTTGTGGATTATGTCTCCTCTGTGAAAACGATGTTTCTGCATGATTTTTAAATTTTATTCTTCTGTTTATTTTCAATCTTGGCTTCCTAGATATCAACTTTGTGGCTGCAGAGCTTAGTGGCCTGAAAGAATTGGCACTTTAAGCTGTCTTTGGCACTTAAAGGTCTAAGTTAGGAGGCCTTCCCACCTATATGAATGGTGTGTGGGTTGGGAAGCACATTCAAAGTTCAGGTTGTTTTTAAGGATTTCAAGGCTTTTTACTTACCACTGAGCCCTCTTATTTTTCCTCTGCCCTGGCTGTAGCCCCTTCGTCGGGCAAGATGTGTGGATAGCTTGCTACCACCTACTTGCAGTCTTTCCTACTTCTGCCAGGGCCTTCCAGTCAGCCAGAGTTGTGTGGAGGGCTTGTCAAGCCCCTCTCTGGCTGTCTAATTTTAAGAGTCATCTTGCCAAATTTCTGGCTCATCTGCCAGTCTTCTTGGTGTCAACCAAGATTGTAGCCTTAGACAGCAATTGCTGGCCATTCCTGTTCACTCATTACCTAGTTCATGACTTTTAATGATAGCTCTACTGGGCATTGGTTTCTCACCATCCACTCTAAATCAAGTGAGTCCCCTCTAGCAGCAGCAACCCTGATCGTTTTATAACCTGCTCTACTATAAACGTTGCATTAACCAAGCTAGTGGGGAGGGGGAAGAGGGTAAGAGCAACTCCAGCAATAATGTCACAGAATCTTACTGTTCATACCTGAAGCCAGTGTTTTTCATGAATAAATATTTCTCAATTAATTTTTATCCTTTTGGCTGATTTCTAGAACTTGTGAATACTGTTTGTCAGATAATGTGAAAATGAAAATAAGAGTTTTGTATGAGTTTTCTACATTGCAATAGGATAGGTGTCACTATGCCTTTCTATAAAGGGTCACTTAGTATATATTTTAAGTTTTTGAGAACACATGCAATTTTGTCACTTCTTCTCTCTTCTCCTCATCATTTTCCTTCTCCTCCTCCTCCTACTTCTTTCTCCCCTCCCCCCATCTCTCCTGTTCTGTCTCTCTCTTTTGAGTTCAACCCCTTTTTAAAAAGGTAAAAACCATTTTTAGCTGGCAGGCCACGCAGAAACAGGTTTCAGGCTAGATTCAGCCTGTCAGGTAAGTTTGCCAACTCTTGCAATAGAAAACATAATGCATAGGGCTGGGCACAGTGACTCCTGCCTGTAATTCCAGCACTTTGGGAGGCTGAGGCGGGTGGATCACCTGAGGTCAGGAGTTTGAGACCAGCCTGGCCAACATGATGAAACCCCTTCTCTATTAAAAATACAAAAATTAGCTGGGCATGGTAGTGGGCATCTGTAATCCCAGCTACTCAGGAGGCTGAGGCAGGAGAACCGCTTGAACCCGGAGGTGGAGGTTGCAGTGAGCCGAGATTACACCACTGCACTCCAGCCTGGCGACAGCAAGACTCTGTTTCAACAACAACAACAACATCAAAAGAAAATGTAATGCATGAAGTGAAAGGAAAAATAAATGTTGGGAAGGATGTCTAACTGGGAGAGAGCTTGTGATGTAAACATAGTATGAATGACCAATGGACAAGGCAAAATTCCTACATGGCCCTACCTATGACCCCTCTGAAAATGTTCTTTCTTCAGCAGGATCAAAGCTGGAAATTCAACTTTGTCCCTCCTGCCCTCTCATATTCTCCGGTCAGCAAGCTCTCAGCCAACACGTGTGGCTGAGTCATCTCCCTCAGCTGTTTTCAAGTTTATGTGCAGGAAATCCTCTCCAGCAGGGAAAACACTATCCGGAAGATCAGAAACAGCAGCAAGATCCATTCTACTTGAGTGACAAAGCAGGATGGATTCAAGAGAGAGAAGACTCCAAAGTCCAGTTTGGGAGAGTAAGCAAAAGTGGCACTTCAAAGGCACTCTCCAGCCCAACTGAAGAACAGCCAGCATGGTCCAAGGAAGACGACACAGTGGTGGATATAGGGCCCAGCCCTGAACAGAAGGCCGACCTTGAGGAGACAGACAAAGGATTGCATGGCTTAGAAGTCTCAGGATGTGGAGAAATCAAATATAAAGAGTTTGGGCCAGGCTTTATCAAGGACTCAAACCTACTTAGCCTCCAGAAGACACAAACAGGGGAGACAGCCTACAGGTACACTGAGTGGGGACAGAGCTTTGGCAGTATGTCAGTCCTCATCGGAAACCCAAGGACACACTCTGGGGGAAAGCCTCATGTGTGTGGGGAATGTGGGCGAGGCTTTACCTGGAAGTCAAACCTGATCACACATCAGAGGACACACTCAGGGGAGAAACCTTATGTGTGCAAGGACTGTGGACGAGGCTTTTCTTGGAAGTCGAACCTCTTCACACATCAGCGGACACACTCAGGGCTCAAGCCTTATGTGTGCAAGGAATGTGGCCAGAGTTTTAGCCTGAAGTCAAACCTCATTACCCACCAGAGGGCGCACACTGGGGAGAAGCCTTATATTTGCAGGGAATGTGGGCATCGCTTTCGCCAGCATTCACACCTCATCAGACACAGGAGGACGCATTCAGGAGAGAAGCCTTACATTTGCAGGGAGTGTGAGCAAGGCTTTAGCCAGAAGTCACACCTCATCAGACACTTAAGGACACACACAGGAGAGAAGCCTTATGTATGCACAGAATGTGGGCGTCAATTTAGCTGGAAATCAAACCTTAAAACACACCAGAGGACCCACTCAGGGGTGAAACCTTATGTGTGTCTGGAGTGTGGGCAATGCTTTAGCCTGAAGTCAAACCTTAACAAACACCAGAGGTCACACACAGGGGAGAAGCCATTTGTATGTATGGAGTGTGGGCGAGGCTTTACCCGGAAGTCAACCCTCATCACACACCAGAGAACACACTCAGGGGAGAAGGCATTTGTATGCAGGGAGTGTGGACGAGGCTTTAATGATAAATCCACCCTCATCTCACACCAGAGGACACATTCAGGGGAAAAGCCTTTTATGTGCAGGGAGTGTGGTAGAAGGTTTCGGCAGAGGCCTAACCTATTTAGGCACAAGAGGGCACACTCAGGTGCCTTTGTGTGCAGGGAGTGTGGGCAAGCCTTTTGTGATAAGTTAACTCTCATTAAACACCATAGGGAACACTCAGGGGGGAAGCCTCACATGTGCAGGGAGTGTGGGCAAGGCTTTAGCCGGCAGTCACACCTCATTCGACACCAGAGGACACATTCAGGAGAGAAGCCTTATATTTGCAGAAAGTGTGGGCGGGGCTTTAGTTGGAAGTCAAACCTAATCAGACATCAGAGGACACACTCAGGATAGAAACTGTATGTGTACAGGCTATGGTAAAGCCTTTAGCCAGGAGTCATACTTCATCAGAGATCAGAGGACACACAGCACTGTGGCTTTGTCAGTCATTGCTGGGATTGCAGGCGTGCACCCCCATGCCTGGCTAATTTTTGTATTTTTTTTTTTTTTTGAGACGGAGTTTCGCTCTTGTTACCCAGGCTGGAGTGCAATGGCACGATCTTGGCTCACCGCAACCTCTGCCTCCTGGGTTCAGGCAATTCTCCTGCCTCAGCCTCCTGAGTAGCTGGGATTACAGGCACGTGCCACCACACCCAGCTAATTTTTCATATTTTTAGTAGAGACGGGGTTTCACCATGTTGACCAGGATGGTCTCGATCTCTTGACCTCGTGATCCACCCGCCTCGGCCTCCCAAAGTGCTGGGATTACAGGCTTGAGCCACCGCACCCGGCCAATTTTTGTATTTTTAGTACAGACGGAGTTTCACCATATTGGCCAGGCTGATTTTGAACTGACCTCGTGATCCACTCACCTCGACCTCCCAAAGTGTTGGGATTACAGGCGTGCACCACCATGCCCAGCCGGAAGTAATAACATTTCTAAGAAGAAAAATAAACTTGGAAAATGAATAAACTTATTTTCCAGCAAATTTTAAAAAGATTATATGCTGCTTATTTTCCGGTCGTGTCTCAGCTCCAGCCATGTCATTCTCCATTCTGTGATGCTGGGGCTGGGACTTTGCTAAAGACATTTCCCAGATTCCTTTGCCTTAATGTCCATTTAAGAGAGACTAAAAGGCATAAATGGAGAGGGACTTGGCATTTTATTTTCCAATTCTGTCAGTAGCTCTCTAGCAGTAAAGGGGAGCTGTGCCTTGCTTGCAAATTCCTTCCATTCTCCCAGGACTAGACTGCCAAAACCAGTTACTGCTGGGCTGAAACCCCTCCTGAGAGCTCTTAGGTAGTGGCAAATCCATCTCTTCCTCTTTGTTCTCTAAGCTCTAGAGCAGGCGTCCCCAAACTACGGCCCGTGGGCTCAATAAAAAGAATGGAGAATCTGCCAGGTGTGGTGGCTTATGCCTGTAATCTCAGGATTTTGGGAGGCCGAGACGGGTGGATCACCTAAGGTCAGGAGTTCGAGATCAGCCTGACCAACATGGAGAAACCCCGTCTCTACTAAAAATACAAAATTAGCCAGGTATGGTGGCACACACCTGTAATCCCAGCTACTCGGGAGGCTGAGGCAGGAGAATTGCTTGAACCCAGGAGGCAGAGGTTGCAGTGACCGGGATTGTGCCATTGCACTCCAGCCTGGTCAACAAGAGCAAAACTCCGTCTCAAAAAAAAAAAAAAAAAAAAAAAAAAGAAAAGAAAAAAGAATGGAGAATCTTATATTTCAGCACCTAGGTATGAAACATCCAAGATAATCTCTAACTTTCCTGATAATTAAGTCCAGGGAAGAACTGTTTAATGTAATTGTCAAGTACCAAACCACAATTACCATCCAAAGAACACTGAACTTGTAAATTTCCCCATTAAAGCAACCTATTACATGTTTGTAGAGCCTTTTAAAAAATTGTCTGATTTCTTCTGAAAGTAATAAAGCCCAATTTCACAGAGTTAAACAATAATCAGTTCTACCCTAGTACCCACACTCCTTTTGTAGAAGATTCTCTGGCCTTAGCCATTAGAGGGCTCTCTGTGGCAGGGGATTGGAGGATGTATTCTCCAAGGATGCATTCTCAAGAACTTCCCCTTGCTTCCACATAAGAATCCTGACTTAATAGGATCTTGACATGGGTGCACTTTTCAGTATTTCAGGGACTAGAGATGGAGAAGAATGCTGCTTTAGTCTGGTTCACTCACGGGCTCACATTCTTGTCCTGACTGTGGGCAGTTTTCTTAAAGTTGGGCCCTAAAGTTGTAGAGTAAAAAGGTGGAAACAACAGCAGGAGGAACGCCAGGGCTATCAGCTACCAAACTACTTATGGTTTTGGTGCAAACGAGCAGCCTCATCCTAATGAAATCTAATTACCCTTCTGTGACTTGCATCACATTAGGTGCAGGCAGAGATGGGATATATAAATGAGGATACCAGGCTGGGCGTGGTGGCTCCCCCTATGGTCCCCGCACTTCGGGAGGCCGAGGCGGGCGGATGGCTAGAGGCCAGGCGTTCCAGATCAGCCTGGCCAACATGGGGAAATATCTTCTCTACTAAAAATACAAAAATTAGTCGGGCATGGTGGCGAGCGCCTGTAGTCTCAGCTACGCGGGAGGTTGAGGCACTAGAATCGCTTGAACCCGGGAGACGGTGGTTGCAGTGAACCGAGATCGCGTCACTGCACTCTAGTCTGGGCGACAGAGTGAGACTCCGTCTCAAAAAAAAAAAAAAAAAGATACCACAGACCCCGCCCACGGCAGGAGACCAGGTAGAGGAACAGTGAGACCTGGAGACAGTCAGATACACACATAGGATCAGTGGTATCCTCACAGTAACAGAAACGGTCACCCCCCAATGTCACCCACAGTATCACCCACAATCACGAGACGTGATGTAAAATACAGAAGCACCCTGCACTGACAGAATCCGTCGCTCCTTTCGTGTGCAAGCACAAAGGTGTGCAGCAACAGTCACACGAAAGGCCACACCCGAGCATTCTGTTGCGCGCAGCCTGGCCACTTTGCTCCACACAGCAGCTCACCGTCCCTCGAGCGCCCAGGAGCGCTCACAGCCCTCTCCGGTAACTGCGCTGCTGGCGCAGGCGCGCAGTGGAGGGGGCCGCGGGGTCCTCTGGGAGATGTAGTTCAGCGATGACGGCCGTGGCGCAAAGCGTTCTGGGGCTCGTGGTTCGCGGGGTCCATAGGGAACTTGGTGTCGCTGGTTCAGATCTCGCAGAGCTCAGAGTCCTGCACGCATGTCCTCGTCTCGCTCCTCCTCGCGGAGAATTCTGGGAGGTGACGTCGCGGGTCTTGGTCGCGGGGCCCGTTTGCAGAGCCCGCGGCGCCCGGAGGTGAGTGTGGCCGGGCCCCGGGCGAGAGCGGGAGGTCAAGGGCGGGCTCCTGGTGGACCGGCAGCGCCAGGGATGGGAACCCGGCAGACGCCGCTGGGGAGGCCGTGTGTATTTCACTGTGTTACCGTGTATAACTATGTGACACCGACAGAATGTGATCTTGTGTCACTGTGTGTGCGCGTGTGTGTGTGTGTGTGTGTGTGTGAGCGCGCGCGCGCCCGCTAGTGTGTGACTATAAGCATCTGTGTCTGGGGGTGAAACTGTGAATATGTTTGTGGGTGACTGCCTCTGCAGGTGTAGCTGTGTATGAGTTTGTGAGAGACTGGGGTGTGACATTATGTGTTTGTGTGAATGCATGTGTGTGGTTATGTGACCACCTGTTTCTGCAGATACAACTGCGTTTGAATGTGTGTGACAGCAAGTGTGATTGTGCAACTATGACCATCTGTCCCTGCAGGTATAGTTTTGTATGGGTAATTGTGACAAGATGTGTGGCTTGTGTGATATGCTACTGTGTGTGTGATTGTTTATCTCTGTTGGTGGAATTGTGTGTGACCATCTATCTTCGTGCTTATGTGGCTGGCTGTGTATTGTGTGAGATTATGGGTGTGTTTGTGCAACTGTGTATCTGTTTGAGATTGGGTGAGAATTTGTGTGTGTATATGAGATTGTGGGATTGATGTATGAAACACAGAAATATTAAAATTGCCCAAGTTCACATAGTTAACGAGTGACAGCGCCAGAACTCAAACCCAAGCAGTTCAGTTCTACAGGTCTCACTTCCCCCCACCCCCGAGATAGGGTCTCACTGTGTCAAACAGGCTGGAATGCAGTGGTGTGATTGCAGCTCACTGCAGCCTTGACCTCTTGGGCTCAAGCAGCCACCTGCCTCAACCTCCCAAGTAACTGGGACCATAGGCATGTGCCACCGTGCCTGCCTAATTGTTTTTATTTTTATTTTTTGTAGAGACTTTGTGCCATATTGCCCAGGCTGGTCTGAAACTTGGGCTCAAGCAGTCCTCCCACTTTGGCCTCCCAAAGTGTTGGGGTTATAGGCCTGAGCCACTGTGTCCAGCTGTGTCCGGTCAAGTTCTTGCTTTTAATTACTAAACTCACTTGTTCTTTCCCACGTTGAGAGGGTGAAAAGTGGTTGCCCTGGGTTTTGAGGGGTTTGGAAAAGATGTTCTGGTATTGGAGTAGGAACCTACAGAACATGGGAACTTAAAATGATTTCTTCCTTCTGTTCCCTTGTGAGTGACAGGCCTCAGTCTAAAAACATTGTAGTGAGGCCATCCTCAAATTAGCTGCTTCTGGGGGAGAGAAGCCCAACCTGAAAGCCCAGTCTTCCTCTTCTTAGTTTATTGAGTTTGAGATTTTAGCTTTGTCCTTGTCAAAACTCTTCCATGTTTGGTGCTGAGAGTCTGGACCCACGGCTGTTTTTCTGATGTGCCAGGTGTGCTGAGTGTTTTATTTTGACCTTCTCAGTTGATAAAGAAAAATATTCTCAGCCGGGCACAGTGGCTCACGCCTGTAATCCCAGCACTTTGGGAGGCCAAGGCGGGTGGATCACCTGAGGTCAGAAGTTCGAGACCAGCCTGGCCAACATGGTGAAACCCCATCTCTACTAAAAATACAAAAATTAGCTGGATGTGGTGGCACATGCCTGTAATCCTAGCTATGTGGGAGGCTGAGGCAAGAGAATCGCATGAACCTGGGAGGCAGAGGTTGCAGCGAGCTGAGATCGCGCCACTGCACTCCAGCCTGGGGACAAGAGTGAGACTTCGTCTCAAAAAAAAAAAAAAGAGAAATATTTCATTTCCAAATGTGTGTAGAATCCAAGCAGGAAAAAGGTTGGCACTTTTCTGCCCCAGGTGTTGGCTCATACAATCTTGACAGTAGAAAAGAATGTTTCTGAGAGATGGATTAACTTGGCCGAGGTCATGTAGCCATTGAGGGAAAGAGTGGATCAACCTGGGTCTGGGTGCTGCATAAAAACAAAGTTTTTTTTCATCATACCTTCTTTTAGTGACAAATGGCTCATTTCAAACTTAGAAATATATTGGCCAAGAGATACACAGCTATCAGAACAAAACAAACTGAAGTTTCTTTTACAGGCCTGACTTAAGGCTTTTGCTCCAAGATGCTAAGAAGACTGCATTGATTCTCTTCTTAGGTTGCAGAAGCTTTTTGTTGTTGTTGAGACGGAGTCTTGATCTGTTGCCCAGGCTGGAGTACAGTGGCGTGATCTCGGCTCATTGCAACCTCCACCTTCCAGGTTCAAGTGATTCTCCTGCCTCAGCCTCCCAAGTAGCTGGGACTACAGGCACGTGTCACCATGCCCAGCTAATTTTTTGTATTTTTATAGAGATGGGTTTCACCATGTTGGCCAGGATGGTCTTGATCTCTTAACCTTGTGATCCACCCTCCTCAGCCTCCCAGAGTGCTGGGATTACAGGCATGACCCACTGCACCCAGCCCAATTTATTTATTCATTTATCTAATATTTTTGAACACCTACAACGATTTGGTGTTGTTTTGTCATTAGAATACACCAGTGAACCAAATAAAAACCTAGTTCTCTTGGATTTTACAATCTTGTATGGGAAGAGAAACAATAAAGAAACAAAACAGTATGTAACATGTCCAATGGCTAAGAAGAAAAATAATTCGGCTGGGCATGGTGGCTCACACCTGTAATCCTAGCACTTTGGGAGACCGAGGTGGGTGGATCACCTGAGGTCAGGAGTTCAAGACCAGCCTGGCCATCATGGTGAAACCTCATCTTAAAAAATAATAATAATAATAATTCAGGGTAAAGAAAAAGGGAGTACCTGGAACAGGGGTTCTCTTTAGGTTAGAATTTTCAGGGAAGTCCCTCTGATGAAGTGACATTTGAAGGAAGATAGGAGTAAAGAGAGGTGGGCCATGCTGATGTCTGGGAGAAGGTTCCAGGCAGAAGGAGAAGGCCACAACCTTGAAGGAGGGGTGTACACGGTGTTTGAGAAACAGTAGGGAGACCTGTGTGCTGGAGTGTGGCGAGCAAGGGGGAGAAGGGTAGGAAATTAGGTCACAGGCGCAGCCAGGGACCAGATCATTAAGCACCTTATTGGCCGCAGGACAGATTTTGGATTTTGTTGAGTTCAGGGTATGTGTCCTTAATATAAGTCAAGACTTATATTGTCAAGTTCAGCATTATAACTTGACTTATAAGTCAAGTTCAGCGTTGACTCCCTCACTCCTCCCCAGATCTTGGAAAAGGTGAGGCTGGCCCATGTAGGGAGGAGAAAGGGGCAGTAGTTCTATTTTTGTGAGTCTTGGGCCAACAATACAGGGCTGGCACATCACTGTTTCTTCCTTAACTCTCCCTTCTCAGGACTTTGTTCTTCTTCAGACGAGAAAACTGAAGAAGGAGGAATGGCTGTGGGACTTTGTAAAGCCATGTCCCAGGTAAGCTGATCTTTCACTTTGTTTTTAGCCATTTGACCTCATCTTTCAGGACTTTGAGACCACAAGGAAAGTCATGAATAGGCCAACGAACACCTGCTCCACTTTTCCCTGTCCACCTTTTCTTCATATAATCCTTCTACAAGACATTTATTTTCTTTTTTTCTCAGCGTTATGCTCAAATGTGTGATGGAGCAGAGCTATCCTATTTAGATGAATGATGATTTGTTGAGTTGGCGGTGAGTGCAAGTGAAATAAGGGATAGAGTTTGATTACCGAGTGACCTATTAAATAGGGAGGTCGAGGATGACCTCTCTGAGGACGTGATATTTAGCAAAGTAAAACTTCAATGAAAGTAGCAAGTAAGTTTTATGGAGATGTGGGGAAGAGCTTTAAAAGAAGGAGCACAAACTTATTACGGTGGGAGCATGTTTGGTGTGTTCCAGGAATAGCAGTGAGTATGTCCTGGGAGGGAAATGAGCACTGTGAAATCAGAGGTATAGCTGGGGACCAAATTACATAGGTCCTTACAAGTCAGCTTAGAGCTGTAAATTATCTGCACTTTGAATTTTATTCTAAGTGTGAAGGAGAGCCATTGGAAAGTTTGTGATCTGATTTGATTTATGCCTTAAAATGAAAATAGAGGCCGGGCGCGGTGGCTCACACCTGTAATCCCAGGACTTTGGGAGGCCAAGGCGGGTGGTTTGCAAGGTCAAGAGATCGAGACCATCCTGGTCAACATGGTGAAACCCCATCTCTACTAAAAATACAAAACATTAGCTGTGCATGGTGGCGCGTGCCTGTAATCCCAGCTACTCAGGAGGCTGAGGCAGGAGAATTGCCTGAACCCAGGAGGTGGAGGTTACGGTAAGCTAAGATCGCACCATTGCACTCCAGCCTGGGTAACAACAGCGAAACTCCATCTCAAAGTAAATAAATAAATAAAAATTTTAAAATGAAAATAGATAGAGGGAAGTAAAGGTGGAAGGAAGCCAATCAGGAGACTCTTAAATAATCCAGATGGGAGTTGATAGTAGCCTGAACCATGGTGGTGGCATTGGAGCTAGGGATATTCTGGGTATACAATGGAGATAGAAAATGCGGGTTGATCAAGGATTAGTTGTGGTGTGTGAGAGGAGGAAAGAAGTCAGCATGACTACAGAGGTTTTTGGCTAGGCAGCTGCATGAATGGGCATGCCATTTGCTGAGATGGAAAGACAGTGTGAAGTGAGATGGACATCAGTAATTGAGTTCTAGATATATTTAGAGACCTTTCGGATATCCAAATGGAATGCTGATCATACATTTGGAGTCAGGACTAGAGATGTGAATTTGAGAGTCTTTAGTGTTTTTTTGTTTTGTTTTGTTTTTTGAGATGGCATCTCACTCTGTCACCAGGCTGGAGTGCAGTGGCCCAATCTCGGCTCACTGCAACCTCCGCCTCCTGGGTTCAAGTGATTCTGCTGCCTCAGCTCCCTGAATAGCTGGGACTACAGGCATGCACCACTACACCAACTAATTTTTGTATTTTTAGTAGAGACGGGTGTCACTATATTGGCCAGGATGGTCTCAATCTCCTGACCCTGTGATGCGCCCACCTCGGCTTCCCCAAGTGATGGGATTACAGGGGTGAGCCACTGAACCCAGCTGTCTGCACCCAGCTGTCATTAGTGTATTTAAAGCATAAGACAGAATGAGATTATCTTCAGGGCAAGGCTGTGGTGAATGTAGATAGGAAAGAGGTGGAAGGACTGAGTTTAGGATGTTCAATATTTAGAGGCACACAAGAGGAGGAACCAGCGAAAGAGATTGAGAAGAGCTGATGTAAAAGGAAAACCAGAAGAGTGTGGGTTCTGGAAGTGAAGAGTAGAAAGTATTTCAAGGATGGATGATGAACTGAGTTAAGTTCTTCTGAGAGAGACTGAAGAAGATGAAGACTGAGAATTTGTTAACATAATATGCTCTTGACAAGAACTACTTCATGGAGTTACTAGGATGAAGACATCATCGTGGTGGGTTTAAGAGAGAATGCAGGCTGGCTGTGGTGGCTTAGGGCTGTAATCCCAGTACTTTAGGGGGTCAAGATGGTGGGACCATTGCCTGAGCCCAGGAATTCAAGAGCAGCTATGTATGTAGGGCAACACAGGGAGACTCCATTTCTAAAAAAGTCTTTAAAAACGAAGATCCAAAAACAGCCCGGTATGGTGGCAGATGCCTATGGTCCCAGCTGCTTGGGAGACTGAGGTGGGAGGATCACTTGAGCCCAGGAGTTGGAGACAGCAGGGAGTTATGATTATGATGCCATATTCCAGCCTGTGCAACAGAAACAGAGTGAGACCCTGTTTCTAAAAAAAATAAATAAATAAATAAATAAAAATCCAGGTGTGCTGGCTCACGCCTGTAATCCCAACATTTTTGGGAAGTCAAGGCAGGTGGATCACCTGAGGTCAGGAGTTCAAGACCAGCCTGGCCAACAAGGCGAAACCTCATCTCTATTAATAATACCAAAATAGCCAGGCATGGTAGCGCATGCCTATAATCCCAGCTACTCAGGAGACTGAGACAGGAGAATTGCTTGAACCCAGGAGACAGAGGTTGCAGTGAGCAGAGATCGCGCCATTGCACATGCCAGCCTGGGCGACAAGAGCGAAACTCCATCTCCAAAAAAAAAAAAAAAGGCAGAAAAAAGAGAATGGAAAATGAGGAAGGTGAGAACAAAGACAGTTAATTTAGACTTACAATAGTGTAGCCAGTAGGTACATAAGACTACTCCAAATTGTGATATGCTGTAAGTACAAAGTATATACCAGATTTGGAAGATTCAGTACAAAAGAGAGTGTAAGCTATCTGATTAATTTTTTTATATTGATTACATGTTGAAATGATAATGTTGTGGATATCTTGGGTTAAATAAAAATGATATTTTTAAATATATTTTTTTCTTGTGTCTACTGGAAAATTTCAAATGACATATGTGGCTCAAATATTTCTGGTGGATCACACTGGTTTAGACAACTCATCAGAAGAGTTTTGTTATTAAGAGGAGAGAGAAATAGGATAATCCCTAGAGTGAGATCATGGAAGGGAATTTATTTATTTATTTTTCTATGCATTTATTTATAAGATGGGAGATATTGCATCAGCTTTTTTTTTTTTTTTTTTTTTTGAGACGGAGTTTCGCTCTTGTTACCCAGGCTGGAGTGCAATGGCGCGATCTCGGCTCACCGCAACCTCCGCCTCCTGGGTTCAGGCAATTCTCCTGCCTCAGCCTCCTGAGTAGCTGGGATTACAGGCACGCGCCACCATGCCCAGCTAATTTTTTGTATTTTTAGTAGAGACGGGGTTTCACCATGTTGACCAGGTTGGTCTCGATCTCTCGACCTTGTGATCCACCCGCCTCGGCCTCCCAAAGTGCTGGGATTATAGGCTTGAGCCACCACGCCCGGCCTGCATCAGCTTTTTTGCTTATTGGAATGATCCAGTAAAGTGAAAATAGTTGGGAGTACAAGGGAGAGAGGCGAAAATGTCTTTGTGTGGGCAAGTGGAGGGACTGGTCTTCGAAGCCTAGAGTTTTGTCCATAGTCACAGAGGGAAGACAAACTATACAGGTAACAGTACAGATACAGAAGGGTAAGTACATATGGTGGCCGGAGGGTGAGAATGTTCAAAGTGAGAACGGGATGCGTTGATGGTGGTTCGAGAGAAAGTTATGTAATAGTTACCAGGAGAGGGGGAGAGTGAATTTATTAGAGAGGCGTAGTAGAGTGGTTTTGCAGTGCTTTTGAGGACTCTCTGGCCATCTTTGAGAAGTACTTCATGTCAACGTGTTTTATCAATCAGGGTTCTAGCAAGGCAATCAAAAGGCGACTATTTACAAGATATTAACAGGATATAGAGAAACTATGAAAGATCATGCTGTACTCTGGAGCTTATAACAGCATAACCTCTTACTAACCCTAGACCTGAATCCAGAGGCAGAGAGCTAGGTTGTGGTGGATGGCGGGGCCCTAACAAGTGCTCTGAGCTTTGATTGAAAGACAGCACCCAGGGCGATGCTCCCACCCAGGGAAGGAGCCAGGGGAATAAGTATTTTGCCTGACTTACCTTCCTTTCATCTCTTGCTTGTGGCTGAACCCAACAGAATATGGGATGGGACGGGGGAGTTGATTGATGTAGTCAGCCTCCTAGGACTCAGAGAAGAGTAGAGGAGCACGTGGAAGTTATATGACGCTATGTAGTTATGTAATTTTTTTCCCTAGACACATTCAGCTGTATTTTCACTATGTAGAATAACCATGTTTTGTATTTCTTTTTTTTATTTGAGATGGAGTCTCACTCTGTCACCCAGGCTGGAGTGCAGTGGCACAATCTCTACTAACTGCAGCCTCCTCCTCCCAAGTTCAAGCAATTCTTGTGCCTCAGCCTCCTGATTAGTTGGGACTACAGGTGCAAACCATCATGCCCGGCTAATTTTTGTATTTTTAGTAGAGACAGGGTTTCACCATTTTGGCCAGGCTGGTCTCTAACTCCTGACCTCAGGTAACCCACCTGCCTTGGCCTCCCAAAGTGCTGGGATTACAGGTGTGACCTACTGTGCCCAGCCTGATATTTAAGAGAACATACTGTACAGACTGGAACCCTATCATTTTTAAGCACTGAATATTCTTTCTTCATATGGGTGTTTTATAGGAAACATCACCATTTATTCCCTGAGTAGCAAATATGTTGGGGAAAGCAGCAATGGAGGAAGGGTTTACAGTGGGCCTACATCAACTGCTTATAATAATGTATAAAAGAAATCAGGAACACTAAACTTCGGAAGGCCCTGGAGGCCTCTGGGGAGGAAGGCCTCTCTATGCCAGCATGTTCCCAGGAACAGAGTGACCTAAGTTCTGATATTCTAAACATAGTGCCCATGGACAAACACTCCCTTGAAGCACTGGAATGTAACCAGACATCTAGGCTCCTTGCTAAGCCTGCTCCCACCAGCTGCACTGTCTGTTGATAAGCATATGCTTTTAGTTCTACAGAAACTCACATAAACCGCCACCACTGTGAATTTTATGTTTGATGCACAGCCTCCCTTCACCGATTCACCCTGCCACCTGCAGTATGGATAAAAGTGACCGTGTTCAATTAATATTGTGGAAACCAGAGTTCGGGCCTTCAGTGCCTTCAGTAAAAAGTGAGGGCCCTGGTGAAACCCTGTCCCTACTAAAAATGCAAAAAATTAGCTGGGCATGGTGGCGCGCGCCTGTAATCCCAGCTACTCAGGAGGCTGAGGCAGGAGAATCGCGTGAACCCAGGAGGCGGAGGTTGCGGTGAGCCGAGATCGCGCCATTGCACTCCAGCCTGGGTAACAAGAGCGAAACCCCGTCTCAAAAAAAAAAAAAAAAAAAAAAAAAAAGTGATGGCCCTCTAGTCCCACTTTCATTCTTAATCTTTTCCTCATTCCTTTGTCACCACTGAACTTGGGGTACCCATGGGTGGGGTGTGGGGCTGGTTCCCTACACAAATATTTACTGCGAGTTTACAATGTGATCAGGTTTATAATAGACACTGGATATATATCCGCTTATAAAGCAAATACCCTTCATGCAGCCTACAGTTCAGTGCTGTAGCCTAAACTGTATTTTTGAACGTGTAAGTTTTTTCCAGATTTTTTGCATAACCTTCCAATGAAAACTCTGTCTAAGACGCTTCACATATACCTCATTATTTCTTCAGGATATGTTCCTGGACATTTCTCCTTACATATAAAGTGTAAATTTCAGGCCACACCCTTTTGTTAAAGCCCAATTCAAGGCCTTTCTCCTATTCTGCTCCATCTAATGTCTCAATTTGGGTAATATAAAGGAATCCCCCATGTAAGATTTTCCTTATACTCAGTATATGTAACATACAGCTCGGTCTTTCCTGTTTCTTGTTATAAGCTATTTTTGTGTATATATGTCTTTTTTTTACAAAAATGTAAAGTTTTCTTTCTTTCTTTTTTTTTTTTTTGAGTCGGAGTCTCACTCTGTCACTTAGGCTGGAGTGCAGTGGTGAGATCTCAACTCTCTGCAACCTCCGCCTCCCTGGTTCAAAGGATTCTTCTGCCTCTGCCTCTTCAGCAGCTGGGATTACAGGCATGCGTCACTATGCCTGGCTAATTTTTGTATTTTTAATAGAGATGGGGTTTCACCATGTTGGTCAGGCTGGTTCTTGAACTCCTGACCTCGTGATCGGTCCACCTTGGCCTCCCAAAGTGCTGGGATTACAGGCGTGAGCTGCCATGCCCTGCCACAAAAATGTAAGATTTTCAGATGGTGAGTCTGTTTCTAATATTTCTCTTCTCTCAAAGTATTTGACAAACCTCATCATGTAATTGTTCTCCAATAATTATTTTCCTTGCATCACTTAGAGATTTGAACTCTGGCAGAATTCATCTTTTTTGCTAGGACCTTATGGGTGTCTGGGCACCTGGTGAACAAGAATTTTTTTATTTCAGGGGCTGGTGACCTTCAGAGATGTGGCACTAGACTTTTCCCAAGAAGAGTGGGAATGGCTGAAGCCATCTCAGAAGGATTTATACAGAGATGTCATGTTGGAGAACTACAGGAACTTGGTATGGCTTGGTAAGGATGTTTCTCCCCCATGATTTAAAAATCTTCCTCTGGGGCATTTTTGCTTTCTCTGTTGAGAATATCTAGGTCACCTTAAAACATCATAAAAGCACTTACTTGCCTTTCTACTTCCCATTCCCAGGAAATGATTTGAAATACATGTATTTTTAACTTTTTAAGTTTCTTAAATTTTAATTAATTAATTAATTTACTTTTGGCAGACATTCTGACTGCATGAAGTAATTTCAGAGTTAGAAATGAGTAGTTCCCTTTGCTGTAGCGTGGTGGTTTGGAAGAGCAACATCAGCTTGTCCTGGGAATTTGTTAAAATGCAAATTATGAGGCCCCATCCTAGACCTACCAAATCAGAAACTCTGGGAGTAAGCTCAGTAGTCTGGGTTTTAATAAGCTCTTTAAATGATCCTGATGTCTGTTAAAGTTTGAGAGCCATCGTAGTTTCTGACTCAGTAGTTCTGGGTTGAGGCCTGAGAATGTGCATTTGTTTTGTTTTGTTTTGAGATGGAGTCTCGCTCTGTCACCAAGCTGGAGTGCAGTGGCATGATCTTGGCTCACTGCAACCTCTGCTTCCCAGGTTCAAGAGATTCTCCTGCTTCAGCCTCCTGAGTAGCTGGGACTACAGGCGCACGCCACCACACTTAGCTAATTTTTGTATTTTTAGTAGAGATGGGGTTTCACCATGTTGGCCAGTATCTCAATCTCTTGACCTCATGATCTACCTGCCTCAGCCTCCCAAAGTGCTGGGATTACAGGTGTGAACTACCGTGCCCGGCCTGAGAATGTGCATTTCTAGTTAGTTCCTAGGTGATGGCTGCAGCTGCTATAGCACTTTGAGAACCACTGGCATGGCAGAAGCTTCATCCTCATCATCCACACAAGTATCATTCCATTCTCTGGCCCATCCTCTAATGTCCATTCTTGCCTGATGATCAAGAGATTGGGTCTGTGTCCAAAAACAGCTGTAGCATGTTGATTTGTCTGTCTGTATGTCTGTCTCTTTCTCTCATTTTTCTTCCCCTGTGAACAGGACTCTCCATTTCTAAGCCCAACATGATCTCCTTACTGGAGCAAGGGAAGGAACCATGGATGGTGGAGAGAAAGATGTCACAGGGTCACTGTGCAGGTGAGTGACAGATGGCCCGTCAGGGAGGGCTATTGTAAGGTACTCAACCAAGTAGTAAGTCAGAAACTGCTCTGGGCTTCAGGTGGGATGGGAACTGAAATCTTAGTATGTGCTTCCCTAGAAACCTCACCACACCCTGGGTTTTTTTTTTCTTTTTCTTTCAATCAAATTGTACTCTCTAGTCTTCCTATACCCTGAATCTCAGTCCTCAGGTCTTCTTTTCCTTTGATGGTTAGAATTGTATTGCACTTCCAGATTTCTTTTCGGAGTTTAAATTTTTATCAAAATTATTGTCAAAGATATGTATGCATATTATTTTTTCTTTTCTTTTTTCTTTTTATTTTTTGCCTTCTCTGCACTAGCATGTATGCACATTATTTAAAGAGTCTTTGTGATCCACCTGCCTCAGCCTCCCAAAGTGCTGGGATTACAGGCTTGAGCCACTGTGCCTGGCCTGTATACCTTTTTATTTTCCCTGGAGTTAATAATGACTTGAAAATTTGTCTTTTTTTTTTTTTTTTTTTTTTTGCTTAATTTATATATACATATCCCTAATCCAATTCCTGACTTACCATCAATTGTCTGAATCTCAAGATACTTGCACATATTAGATGATCCATTGACTTCATCTTCTGGGATAAATCTCTCCTGGAATCCTCAGATATGCTTCTCTGGACAAATGGCTCATTGTATTTGCATGTACTCAGTTTGGGTCTATCTGTTTTGATATTTTCTTGTGATTAGATTGAGGTAATGCATTTTTGCAAAGAATGCCACAGAAATAATGCATCATACCAAAGGATGCATAATGTCAATATGTGTTATTATTGGTGATGTTAACTTTGCAAACTTGATGAGAGTAGTGTCTGCTTTATAAAAGTTCTTATTTTTCTATTTGTAATTAATAAGTATCTGTGGGACATACTTGGAGATTATTCAGTTTCTTCTGTAATTTTTGCCCATTAATTTTAGCATTTATTGCTGGATCTCTTCAACTGTTATTACTGTGGTGTTAACCTAATGTTGATTTTTTCATTTCCCTCTTTTTTTATGTATACTAATTAGGATTATTCCGTATAAAGAGCTGTTCCTTCCCCTCCATTTACTTATATATTCAATTATATGGATTTTTTTTTCTAAGAGGTAAATCTAATTTACCTCATCAAATGTAGTCACTTCATAAAATATAAATGGATTTATTTTTGGATTTATGGATTTTTGTTTCTTTCTGTGACATAAATCCAGTGAATCATTATTTTGTTTCTCAAATTGTTCCAGCTTTGAATGTTGGAATCTCCTTCACCTTGGTTCCTTTGACCTTCTGACACGCCCACACACATTTTTTTGAGCATTCTTCCGTCTTGCACAAGGTATTCTAGGCTCTTTTGTTTTCCTTATCCTAGCCTTGAATTAGCTACTTCTCCAAGGAGCCCTCATTGCTTTTATTGGGAGATGGTGTTTAGAAACAAAGGTCCGGGTGCTAGGTATGCTCTAGGCTACTGGGATGTCACTGCTTCTGGCCCTTATGGCAGCTAAAGCTAGGAAACATATACATAGATAGATTTATACACACATCCCTGTATTTATTTCTGCCTCTTTTTTTCATTTTTTGTTACCTCTATCTTTTTATGTACTAAAACTATCTGTGGCCGGGCGCGGTGGCTCAAGCCTGTAATCCCAGCACTTTGGGAGGCCGAGGCGGGTGGATCACGAGGTCGAGAGATCGAGACCATCCCGGTCAACATAGTGAAACCCCGTCTCTACTAAAAATACAAAAAATTAGCTGGGCATGGTGGCGCGTGCCTGTAATCCCAGCTACTCAGGCGGCTGAGGCGGGAGAATTGCCCGAACCCAGGAGGCGGAGGTTGCAGTGAGCTGAGATCGCGCCATTGCACTCCAGCCTGGGTAACATGAGCGAAACTCCGTCTCAAAAAAAAAAAAAAAAAAAAAAAAAACTATCTGTTTTATTAATAACTTGATTTCTAGTCCTGCTTTACAGAGTTTATTGTAGCCTTCCTCCTTTACTTATTTGTAATTTCTTTTTCTTTTACTTTTTTTTTTTTTTTTTTGAGACAGAGTTTTGCTCTTATTACCCAGGCTGGAGTGCAATGGTGCAGTTTCGGCTCACCACAACCTCCGCCTCCTGGGTTCAGGCAATTCTCCTGCCTCAGCCTCCTGAGTAGCTGGGATTACAGGCACGCACCACCATGCCCAGCTAATTTTTTGTATTTTTAGTAGAGACAGAATTTCACCATATTGACTAGGATGGTCTCGATCTCTTGACCTTGTGATCCACCCGCCTCGGCCTCCCAAAGTGCTGGGATTACAGGCTTCAGCCACCGCGCCCGGCCATTTCTTTTTCTGATAATGACAAAAAATGTATTTAGCTATTTGTTCAGTTTTAGTATACACATAAAGTAGTTTCAGAATTTCTAACCTATTTCTCTGTGAGAAACAAATTTACCAACTAGATTTAGGTATTTCCATATAGTATTTTTTTGTTTTAGTCTTACAGTATTCAGTCAAAATACTATTTCCAAAATTACTTAGGTTAGTCATTTTAGGTTCATTTGTTACTGCTTTTTTGTTTGTTTGTTTGTTTTGAGATGGAGTCTCGCTCTCGCTCTCACTCTGTCACCAGGCTGGAGTGCAGTGGCACGATCTCGGCTCACTGCAGCCTCTGCCTCCCGGGTTCAAGCGATTCTCCTGTCTCCGGAGTAGCTGGGACTACAGGCACATGCCACCGTGCCCAGCTAATTTTTGTATTTTTATTAGAGACAGGGTTTCACCATGTTGGCCAGGGTTGTCTTGATCTCTTCACCTCATGATCCGCCCACATCAGCCTCCCAAAGTGCTGGGATTACAAGTGTGAGCCTCTGCTTCTGGCCCATTTATTACTGTTTTGTTCTATTTTGCATTCCTACTACATCCTGGATTTATGTATGTATTTATTTATTTATTGGTATCTAAAACATTACTATGCCTCTAAGAATCAAAGCCATATAAAATAGTATAACGTAGGTCTTTGAAAAGTGTGGTGCCCTCCTTGTTCCTACTACTTTATTCTTTTTCTCTGCTTCTTCCTACTCATTTCCTATTCAACCCTTGTATGTTACCAATTTCTTAGTTTCAAGTTTATCCTTTTTATGTTTCTCTTGCACAAATTAGCAGTTAGATTTGTAGTTTTTTTTATCATCTTTTTTTTTTTTTCAAAACGGAGTTTCGCTCTTGTTACCCAGGCTGGAGTGCAATGGCGCGATCTCGGCTCACTGCAATCTCCGCCTCCTGGGTTCAGGCAATTCTCCTGCCTCAGCCTCCTGAGTAGCTCAGATTACAGGCATGTACCACCATGCCCAGCTACTTTTTTGTATTTTTAGTAGAGACGGGGTTTCACCATATTGACTAGGATGGTCTCGATCCCTTGACCTCGTGATCCACCCGCCTCGGCCTCCCAAAGTGCTGGGATTACAGGCTTGAGCCACCGCGCCCGGCCTGTATCATCTTTATATGACGAGCAGTGTGCTATGATACATTTTGCATTTTGCTTTTATCACTTAACAGGAAGTCACTTCATATATATATATATATATATTTTTTTTTTTTTTTTTTTTTTTTTTTTTGATACAGAGTTTCGCTTGTTACCCAGGCTGGAGTGCAATGGCGCGATCTCGGCTCACCGCAACCTCCGCCTCCTGGGTTCAGGCAATTCTCCTGCCTCAGCCTCCGGGGTAGCTGGGATTACAGGCACGCGCCACCATGCCCAGTTAATTTTTTGTATTTTTTTTAGTAGAGACGGGGTTTCACCATGTTGACCAGGATGGTCTCTATCTCTCGACCTCGTGATCCACCCGCCTCGGCCTCCTAAAGTGCTGGGATTACAGGTGTGAGCCACCGCACCCGGCTGGAAATCACTTTATATTAATTCATGAAGATTTTCCTCTTTTTTTTTGGTCACCCAGGCTAGAGTGCAGTGGCACATTCGTGGTTCACTGCAACCTCTGCCTCACAGGTTCAAGCGATTCTCCTGCCTTAGCCCTCTGAGTAGCTGGGACTACAGGCACGTGCCACCACACCTGGCTAATTTTTTGTATTTTTAGTAGAGATGGGGTTTCACCATGTTGGCCAGGCTGGTTTCAAACTCCTGACCTCAAGTGATCTGCCCTCTTTGGCCTCCCAAAGTGGCGGGAGCCACTGCACTCATCATTCATACGTAGTTTTACAAGGAATTGCCAGATTCTCCTCCAGAAAGTTGTCTTAGTTTTTTTTCTGCTGTAACAAATTTGCACACTTTTAGTGGCTAATAGAACACAAATTTATTATAGCTCTGGGGATTAGAAGTAAAAAGTAGGTCTTACAAAGCTAAAATCAAGATGTCAAGGCCGGGCGCGGTGGCTCAAGCCTGTAATCCCAGCACTTTGGGAGGCCGAAGCGGGCGGATCACAAGGTCAAGAGATCGAGACCATCCTGGTCAACATGGTGAAACCCCATCTCTACTAAAAATACAAAAAATTAGCCGGGCATGGTGGTGTGTGCCTGTAATCCCAGCTACTCAGGAGGCTGAGGCAGGAGAATTGCCTGAACCCAGGAGGCGGAGGTTGCGGTGAGCCGAGATCGCGCCATTGCACTCCAGCCTGGGTAACAAGAGTGAAACTCCGTCTCAAAAAAAAAAAAAAGAAGCAACAACAGTCTAATTTTTTTTTTAGAGACGGGTTTTCACCATGTTGGCCAGGATGGTCTCGATCTCGATCTCTTGACCTTGTGATCCGGCCGCCTTGGCCTCCCAAAGTGCTGGGATTACAGGCATGAGCCACCATGCCCAGCCTCACAACAGTCTTGAATTCAGTGTATATCCTTCCAGTTAATTTTTAAAATATTTTTGGTAAACATTTATGAAAGAAAATATTTTTTACTTTTTTATAGGTAGCAGTCTTTACATTTTGTTTTGCAACTTGCTTTTATTAACACTGTTTTTGAGATTTATCCATGGTAAAAATCTATATAAAATATAGTTCCCTCCTTATGATCATTGAGTTGTTTCCATTTTTTGTTGTCTTAAATAGTAGCAAGGTATATTTCCATGCACATGTCTCCATGTGTAAGAGTTTCTCAAGAATCTGTATCAGGCCAGGCATGGCTCACACCTGTGATCTCAACATGTTGGGAGGATTGCTTAAGCCCAGGAATTTGAGATCAGCCTGAGCAACATAGCAAGACCCTGTCTCTAAGAAAATAAAAAAACAGGCCTGGTGCAGTGGCTCATGCCTGTAATCTCAGCACTTTGGGAGGCCGAGGTGGATCATGAGGTCAGGAGTTTGAGACCAGCCTAGCCAAAATGGTGAAACCCCGTCTTTACTAGAAATATAAAAATTAGCCAGACATGATGGTGTATGTTTGTAATCCCAGCTACTCGGGAGGCTGAGGCAGGAGAATTGATTGAACCTGGGAGGTGGAGGTTGCAGTGAGCTGAGTTCACACCACGGGACTCCAGCCTGGGCAACAGAGCAAGAATCCGTCTCGGACAAAAAAAAATTTAGCCTTGCATGTTGCTGTGTGCCTATTGTTCGAGCTACTCAGGAGACTGAGGTAGGAGGGTTACTTAATCCTGGGAGGTCAAGGCTGCATTGAGCTGTGATAGTGCCATTGGACTCCATTCTAGGCTGGATTACAGAGCAAGACCCTATCTCAAAAAAAAAAAAAAAAGAAATTTATACCTCAAAGTCAAATTGCTGGAACATGGAAGTATATGTTTTAATTTACAAGATACCAAACTTGTTCTGTGGAGTGATTGTGTCAGTTTATGCTCGTACTAACAATGATAGCGTCTGAGAATGCCTTTTCCTTCCTCTCTTGATATTCTTCAACTTAGGTTTTTTTTTTTTGTTTGTTTTTATTTCTTTAGAGACTGAGTCTTGCTCTTGTACCCAGATTGGAGTGCAGTGGCGCAATCTTGGCTCACTGCAACCTCTGCCTCCTGGGTTCAAGTGATTCTCCTGCCTCAGCCTCTTGAGTAGCTGGGACTACAGGCACACACTGCCACACCCAGCTAATTTTTTTTTTTTGCATTTTTGTAGCGAGGGGGTTTCACCGTGTTGCCCAGGCTGGTCTCGAACTCCTGAGCCCAGGAAATCTGCCTGCCTCAGCCTCCCAAAGTGCTGGAATTACAGATGTGAGTCACCATGACGTGGCCTTAAGTTTTTGATATTGTCCTTAATATTGTCTAACTGAAATTTCTGCTGATATGAGTAAGGGAAATGCTCTTATGGCTTTAATTTACTAGTGATATTATTGATCACCTTTCCAGGAATGCACTGTCTATGAAGTTTTTGTCTTCTGTGCTCATATATTTTTTTGAGACAGGCTCTCACTCTGTTGTGCAGGCTGGAGCGCAGTGGCATGACCTTGGCTCACTGCAGCCTCTGCCTCCTGAGCTCAAGCAATCTTCCCACCTCAGTGTAACGAACCACTGCACCTGCTTAATTTTTTTGTTTATTTTTCTTGTAGAGACAAGGTCTTACCGTGTTGCCCAGGCTGGTCTAGAACTCCTGGGCTAAAGCGATCCTCCCATCTCGGCTTCCCAAACTGTTGGGATTACTGGTGTATTTCCATTTTTGGAGAATTAAGTTGTCTTTTTCTTATTGATTTATAGTAGAACTAAATTCTATGCATTATTCATTTTTCTGTGCTACATGTTTTAGTTGTTTTTTTCTCAGATTGTTCCCTGGCCTTTGACTTTGTGGTATTTTCTCCCACTCACGTGTTTTTAAGGTTAATGTCAAATTCATTCCCTTCAACCAGATCTGGTCAGGATGGTAGTGAGGAGGTCATGCTCTCCTTCACTGTGTTCTCTGTATCTTACAAGTTTTTAATGCTCCAAGTGTTTCTGTTGATATTCTTCCTTGACATTTTCCACAATGATAGAGAATTTTACAAGTCAACCCTGGTCAAGTTCTTTCACAGAGATTTTGATGGAAGAAAGGTATAAAAATGCAAGGGCTGAGGTCATATTACTGGTTTTGGAATGTTCTTTCTTTGTTCATAATTTTCTTTTATATTGTTGATGATTTTTGTCCAAGTTTCTTTAAAATAATTTTCTTTAAGTTTGGAAATAAAATCTTTATGGAATTCTGGTTGAAACTGACCTGATATAAATTAACCATTGATAAAAAAGTATGCATATATATTTTTTGTTTTGGTGCAATTATATATTACATTGGCTCATTTAAATCTTTCTTAAAAGAATTTTGTAACATTTTGTAGGACTTTTCTCGTATTCTTGGGAATCATGCTTCCCTCTCCCTTCCAATTATTTACATAGCAGTTGTAATCTTAACTCACTGCCCGCACCTCAGGTTCTCTTCCACTGTCTTATCACTTGCAATCTGGCTTCTGCCCCTCTAGTTGAGCTAAATCCAGGTGCCCTTCTTCATTTTCATATTCCTTAGATTATTAAGATGTATAAAAGAGTTCTTACCACTATCCATTTTCTCTTTTCAAAGCTCTGTTCTCTCCCTTTAATGGACTCTTTTCCCTGTTTTTCTGTTGTTTCCTCATTTGCCGTAAGATCTTTGTAATATTAATGCGGATCTCTGTCCAGTTCTGTCTCGTAGAACTTTCTTTCTTTCTTTCTTTGAGACGGAGTCTTACTCTGTCGCCCAGGCTGGAGTGCTGTGGCATGATCTCACCTCACTGCAACCTCTGCCTCCCAGTTCAAGCAATTCTCATGCCTCAGCCATCTGAGTTGCAGGGATTATAGGTGTAAGCCATCGTGCCCGGCTAATTTTTTTGTTTTCAGTAGAGACAGGGTTTCACCATGTTTGCCAGGCTGGCCTTGAACTCCTGGGCTCAAGTGATCCATCCACATCGGCCTCCGAAGTGCTGGTATTACAGGCAGATTCCCCATGCTCGGCCTCTAGTAGAACTTTCTGTGATGATGGAAATAATCTATATGTGTGCTTTCTAATCCAGTAGCCACATTTGGCTTAGAGTGCTTAAAAGTGTGGCTAGCGTGACTGAGGGACTAATTTTAAAATGTCATTTAAATTTGAATTGCCACATATACTTAGTGGCTATCATATTTGATAGCATAGCTCTATACCAGGCATCCCCGAACTACGGCCCATGGGCTGCATGCGGCCCCCTGAGGCCATTTATCTGGCCGCCCGCCACACTTCAGGAAGGGGCACCTCTTTCATTGGGGGTCAGTGAGAGGAGCACAGTATGTGGCGGCCCTCCAACAGTCTGAGGGACAGTGAACTGGCTCCCTGTGTAAAAAGGCTCCCTGTGCCTGCTCTATACAGTCTTTTAATCAAGGGGATCCAAACTGTAAGTCTATGTATAAAGATAGTGGTTGGAGCTCCAGGCACTTCAGAGTCCCCCATATTGGAAAATATCTGTGGTCTTCTCCCATCAGGCTTCTTTTATTAAGCACTAAGTTAGTTATTGTATAAATCTGCTATTTGCCTGGAGTAAAGACTTATTTTTGGTAAGGTGAATATAGTGGCTTCAGTTGATGTATATAAGAGATGAGATCCAGGCAAGTGGGTGAGGGAACAGAAGTAGTTGTATTTCTAGGGAAAGAAAGAATGAATGAATGAATGAATTAATCCTAACCAAGGATAGGCAAACAAATCCTCTCAGGCCTGGGTGTAGACGGGGCCCTGGTAAGAAAATCCAAGGCTGTGAATAGGACAGACTGATAGGGCTGAGGGCTTTCCTTGGGTGAAGGGTGTATTGGAAAGAAGAAAGATGCAGATGAATAATATTTTCTTTTCAATTTTGTTCTGACCTATACTGGAGACAGCTTTACTTTTCAACAGATGGGAAACTGTTATGGCAAATACTGTATCTATTTAACCCCTAATGCCAAAATATGTAGTTGTAAAATAACCCCTAACCCCATCTAAACATGAAAATGTCTCTGTCACTGAAATAGTCACTATGTTTCGGAATCCTGATTACAGCCTTGAAAATGGAGCTCATGTTCTCCAAGAATTATTCCTTAACTAAGCTCGTGAATTTTGATCTCTTTTTTTTTCCTGAAGTTTATACCTCCAATAATCGATCACATATTAGCTTGTCTTTCATTATGTGCCATAGGGAATAATCATAGGCACAGGCTTGAGCTCTCAGAATTTACAAAGGGTAGAAAGACCCTGTGTCAGGCTTCCCCTCAATCTGTTAGGTACTGGGGGCCTACTAGTAGGTTCATATATCTGAATATATTGGCTGATTATTGTGGTGTGAAAAGGACTTTCTCATTTTTTGAGATCACCTTCTAAAAAATAGTTTTCTTTCTGCCTTACCGCAACCAATATCCTCCCCTGAAAGCATCACATATCTTCTCAGTATCATCATTTTCCCTCAATGATGAGAAAAGCTGACCACAAGGTTTCTTTTAATCATTGGGGAAAATATATATATATAAGTCTGCCCTGGACCCTGATAGAAATCTTAGTTGTTAAATAGCATTAGTGGGAAAAGTTGTTATGAAATTAATCTGGCAGCAGTCATTCATTTAACAATGTGCTGACATTGTCCGAGGCATTGGATGCAACAGTAGAAGAAAAGAGAGTGAATGTCAGTGCCTGCTCTCATGGAGCTTTCAGTCTTATGAATTCCAGTGCAGGAGGGACTGGAGGCTTTAAAGACTAGAGGCAGGGAAACTGGCTGTGATCTAATCAGACATCTTCAATTCCTTACCTTGTTAGCATTTAGCTTTGCCTGCTTTTTCATGACCTGCGTTTTCCCAACTTCCACCTTCCCATCAGCAACACATACCCCTTCCCTTCTCAGCTCTCTTTATTCTTTGTGTTTCCATTCTCTTGTGTTCATATTGCATGGCCACATTTAGGAGATGTTAGAACCACGTACTTTCTACCCTCCTTCTCCCCAGTTAAATTCTTCCATTTCTATAACGTTTTCTTCCTCGTAGCAAAAGAACAAAGGAGACATTTGCTTTCTTGATGTTTTTCAGACTGGGAGTCTTGGTGTGAAATCAAGGAATTATCTCCAAAATGGTTCACTGAGGAAAATGAAATATCCCAGGAGGTGGTAATGGAAAGGCTAGCAAGTCATGGCCTTGACTGCTGCAGTTTCAGAGAAGCCTGGAAATACAAGGGTGAATTTGAGCTACATCAGGGAAATGAGGAGAAGCATTTCATGCAAGTGATAGCTGTTAAGGAAATCTCTACTGGGGAAAGAGACAATGAATATAGTAATTCTGGGAGAAGCACACCCCTGAAATCAGGATTTTTAAGACAACAGAAAGTTCCTACCATACGGCAAGTACATAAATTTGATATTTATGATAAAATCTTCCCCCAAAATTCAGTCATAATTGAATATAAAAGCCTCTGTGCTGAGAGGGAATCTTTGATAGGTAATGAATGTGAAGAATTCGACCAGAGTACATACTTTAGTAAAGATATAGGAATTCCTCTTAGTGAGAAACCTTATGAAAGAAATGATTTTTCAAATCTCTTAAGTTTCCACTCTTTACTTACTCAACATCACACCACTCATTTTGGAAAGTTACCCCATGGATATGATGAATGTGGTGATGCCTTTAGCTGTTACTCGTTCTTCACTCAACCTCAGAGAATTCACAGTGGAGAGAAACCGTATGCATGCAATGACTGTGGAAAAGCATTTAGCCATGACTTCTTTCTCAGTGAACATCAAAGAACTCATATTGGGGAGAAACCTTATGAATGTAAGGAATGTAACAAAGCCTTCAGACAGAGTGCACACCTTGCTCAACATCAGAGGATCCACACTGGAGAGAAACCGTTTGCATGCAGTGAATGTGGGAAGGCCTTTAGCCGTTATGCCTTCCTCGTTGAACATCAGAGAATTCACACAGGTGAGAAACCATATGAATGTAAGGAATGCAACAAAGCCTTCCGACAGAGTGCACACCTTAACCAACATCAGAGGATTCACACCGGAGAGAAACCCTATGAATGTAATCAGTGTGGAAAAGCCTTCAGCAGACGCATAGCCCTTACTCTGCATCAAAGAATTCACACAGGAGAGAAACCTTTCAAATGCAGTGAATGTGGGAAGACCTTTGGCTATCGTTCACACCTTAATCAACATCAGAGAATTCACACCGGAGAAAAGCCCTATGAGTGCGTCAAATGTGGGAAGTTTTTCAGGACTGACTCACAACTGAATCGGCATCATAGAATTCATACTGGAGAGAGACCATTTGAATGCAGTAAATGTGGGAAAGCCTTCAGTGATGCTTTAGTTCTAATTCACCACAAGAGAAGTCATGCAGGAGAGAAGCCCTATGAATGTAACAAATGTGGGAAGGCCTTCAGTTGTGGCTCTTATCTTAATCACCATCAGAGAATTCATACCGGAGAGAAACCCTACGTATGTAATGAATGTGGGAAGGCTTTTCATCAGATCTTGTCCCTAAGGCTACACCAGAGAATTCATGCTGGAGAAAAACCTTATAAATGTAATGAATGTGGGAGTAATTTTAGCTGTGTCTCAGCCCTTAGACGACATCAGAGAATTCATAATAGAGAAGCACTCTGATTACAACAAGTATAGGAAAGAAAACATTGGGTTGCCGTCAGTCCTCATTGAATATTAGTGAGTTCTTTTTGGTTAGTAATTCTTTGAATGTAGTTCATATTTCAGTTTATCAGTATCCATTATTTGAAGTAGCTCATTAGTAGATGTCCGTTACTTTGTTGTTGTTGTTGTTGTTGTTTGTTTTTTGAGACAGAGTCTTGCTCTGTTGCCCAGGCTGGAGTGCGTGGTGCCATTTTGGCTCACTGCAGCCTGCACCTCCTGGGTTCAAGCAATCCTCCTGCCTCAGCCTCCTGAGTAGCTGGGATTACAGGTGCCCACCACCATACCTGGCTAATTTTTGTATTTTTAGTAGAGATGGAGTTTCACCACATTGGTTAGGCTGGTCTCAAACTCCTGACTTCAGGTGATCCACCTCCGCCTCCCAAAGTGTGGGATTACAGGCGTGATTGGTCACAGGCTGGCCAATTATATCCCGCAACCTAGTGATACGGGACTGGCAGATGGCTCTGTGTGGATCAGTGAAGTCCTTTGGGGGTATTGCTATGGGTAGTAAGAGAGATTTTTTTCTGGAATTGCAAGTTTCAAGGATTTAATAAGATTTAAAACTCAACCGTAGCCTTTTTGCCACTCATGAGGAAAACTTTCCCAAAGAGAAATCTAACAGGAAAATGGAGATGAGAGGCGGAAATCTGATGATACTGTTTGATCTCCTGGATCCAGCCATTCTTGACAGCTACACCATCCTTTTTCTTTTTTTGTGATCCAATAAATTTCTTTTTCTTTTTTTTTTTTTTTTTGCTTAATTTGGATTAGATTTTTGCCTCATGAAATTAGAGTACTGATTCACACATTCTGTGTTTGCTATACATATGAGAAAGCCTTAATTTTTTACATGGCATAGTTGTTTATTCTGAAGAGAAAACCTATGATATAACAAGTTTATGAAAGTTGAATATACAGCCTCCACAAAGCCGAGATAATTGTTAGATTTTACTTGTCAATAAATTATTTTAGTGTTTCTTAGTTTTTTTTTCACAATATGGATGAATATTATAAAATTCACCAAGTAAAATTCTCTAACAGGCTCTCCCTTAAGGAGTTAAAATCATTTGTCACAGTGAGTCACCATATGCCTGTAAAGAGAGAATGGATGGCTAAGAGAATAATGCTTTCATTTGTTTAATATAGTTCTTCATTTTCAAGGAAGACCTTAATTTTCTTCTTTCAGTATGGGTCTAAACATATTCTGTGGCAAAATATAATAAAATTGTAAATGAGATCTTTTGTGGGTGGGCTCTAAATTTGGTTTAATAACTTTATGGATAACTTCTTTGCAGCTGGAGATATCAGACATAGATACTGCTGGCAGATAGAGTGAGTTGTTTTTAACAAATGGTAAAAGTAAAGCAGTTAATGCCTAAAATTGTTAGAGACTAAATAATTTCCATTATTGGGAGTAATGAGGAAGATGAAGTTGTGAGGCAATGCATTTCTTTTTTATCTGAATGGACGTAGGGAAATAAACTGGTGATATGGCAGCTGGGCCATCTTGAACAGTCAGAACCAGTAAGAATGTTGGGCATTGCCTGAAGAACTTCTATAAAAACATATCAGAACAAGTGAATGAGGAAGGAATCAAGGATTTATATGTATGTATAATTAGTTTAATATTAAATTTATACTTTAATAAAAATCTGAAATTTATTTTTCATAAATATTCAAATTCCCTTTAAACAGCTGAAAATACAGATTTAGTGACTCAATACTTCAAACCTTGAACAGAATATGATTATAAAATATTTCCAAACTTATGTTACATCTAATCTAAAACATTAATATCATAAGCTTAATTTATGTCATCATTTCTTTATTTTTAAATTGTATTTCCTGGAGGTACGGGGGATATTTATTTTTGTAATTTCTAAGCACTAAATAATAATTTATTTCAGAAAGTTTCACAAGGTTACAGTAAACTTACCAAACTTGAAGAATGACTCAGACCAGTAAAGAGTCTGAGTTACTCACTAATTGATTTTTTTTTTTTTTTTTTTTTTGAGACAGTCTCACTCTGTTACCCAGGCTGAATGCGGTGACACAATCATGGCTCACTGCAGCCTCAACTTCCCAGGCTCAAGTGACCCTCCCACCTCAGCCTCCTGAGTAGCTGGGACTACAGGTATGCTCCACTATACCTGGCTAGGTTTTGTGTTTTTTTTGTAGAGTCGGAGTTTCGCCATGTTGCCCAGGCTGGTCTTGAACTCCTGGCCTGAAGTGATTTGTCCACCTCGGCCTCATGGAATTAGAGGCCTCCCAAAGTGCTGAGATTACAGGGGTGAGCCACTGTGCCCAGTTACTAATTGATTTTTGATCTAAGTATGGCACCTGATTCATCCTCTAGAGTGACAACCTAAGCCACTGGTTCATTCTGTTTATGCAGTTAAACTTCGCTTACAGTGTTGATAAAATCTTTTATACCCATGTCTTTAGCATAAGTTTTTGTATTTTGCAATGTTTCTTCTTACAGTGAGGTGCCAAATATTGTCTTCCACTCTACAACCCATTGTCTTGTGATCTATTGACCTGATCTCTTAGCATTAGTGAAAATTTATGCTTTATTAATATTTGATTTTTATTAGTACCATCTGGAGGTTTCTGTTTATGTGTGTGTATATGTTATCTGAAGATGTATATTTCATTTAAATTTTTTGTATTAAGTGCCTAATGTGTGCCAGGCTTTGTTCTAGTCTAAGCAATGGAGATACAGCAGTGAACCAAACAGACAAAAAATTTCTGCCTTCAGAGAGCTAATTTCTAATGAGGAAGACAATGAAAAAGATGTATAGGTAAAAGATATAAGTGAGTAAATTCTAAGGAGAAAAAGATGAAGGAAGGGGTGGGGAGCCAGGGAAGACCCCTTCTGAAGTTAACTTTTGAGTGAAGACCTGAGAGAGAGATCTCTGTCTGTCGGTCTGTCTACCTACCTGCCTATCCGTCCATCTATCCAAACTACATATACACACCTATAGACATATTTATATGCCTTTATAACTAATGGGAATATATATAACTTTACATTGGTATACATAAATTTACACTTTATTTATTTTCCTGTATCATGTCTACATATTTGTGTGTTACATTTTTTTTTTTTTTTTTTTTTGAGATGGAGTTTCGCTCTTGTTACCCAGGCTGGAGTGCAATGGCGCGATCTCGGCTCACCGCAACCTCCGCCTCCTGGGTTCAGGCAATTCTCCTGCCTCAGCCTCCTGAGTAGCTGGGATTACAGGCACGCACCACCATGCCCAGCTAATTTTTTTGTATTTTTAGTAGAGATGGGGTTTCACCGTGTTGACCAGGATAGTCTCGATCTCCTGACCTCGTGATCCACCCGCCTCAGCCTACCAAAGTGCTGGGATTACAGGCTTGAGCCACCGCGCCCGGCTTGTGTGTTACATTTTAACACATTTGACTCAGATGAATTTATGGACTTTTACAGTCTAGGCAAATTTCACTTAATTATAATGTATTTAATATTGATGCTTAATTGACACAATTTAGCCACTGGGGATTACTTTAAGCAAACTCTGCTCCCTCCAGCACGTGTATTTTGGACAAAATTGCTGCCATTATGATTGAGTCCCTTTTAGAGGTCGCTGGGGGAAAAATGTTTCCTTTATAGAACATGGTTTCATGCTGATTTCTAGTTCTTTCTCAATATATTTTGTTACACCCTACTAAGATTTTCAACTTTGTTCACAAAACTCAAGACAGGGAGGTAATGAATTGGACGGTGGAGAAAAGTGGATTCCTGGAAGCCGTGAGGTGGCGATACTTCACTAATGGGAATAAGCCACCTTCCTGGATAGCTTTCTCAGACAGGCATTTACACAGTAATTCCTCACATCTTCTTCCAGAAAAAATAGTGAAAGGATCTGCTCTTTTCACATTGGGACAGTTAGGGGACTTTGGAGTTACATCTACATATAGATACCAACTCTTTGTCAGGAGACTTGAAGAAGTGATTCAGGCTCAGTTTAGTTATCTGTAAAACAAATCGTAATTCTAGCCTTTTGAATTTTTGTGAGGATTAATTGAAAGCATGTAATATTTGTAAATAGTTAACAATGCGGTTATTATTAGTGATAAAATCAATCACAAGGAGTTGGATTGTGTCCCTGAAAGCCAGCTACTCATGGGGGACAGAACTGTGAATTCAGCCCACGTCCTGCCTCTCCATACATGTGTTGAGTCACAAATGGCAGTGGCCGCAGCCCATCTTTCTGATCCCGGAGTGGTAACTGCAGCTCTAGAGTCTCTCAGCACTCTCTCTGTTTGGATTTTTTTTTTTTTTTTTAAGATGGAGTTGTGCTCTTGTTGCTCAGGCTGGAGTGCAATGGTGCAGTCTCAGCTCACTGCAACCTCTGCCTCTCGGATTCAAGTGATCCTCCTGCCTCAGCCTCCTGTGTAGCTGGGATTATAGGTGCCTGCTACCATGCCCAGCTAACAGCTAATTTTTATATTTTTAGCAGAGATGAGGTTTCACCATGTTGGCCAAGGTGGTCTTGAACTCCTGACCTCAGGTGATCCACCCACCTCAGCCTCCCAAAGTGCTGGGATTATAGGTGTCCAGCCAGGAGGCTGACTTTTATTAACAGAGGCCAGGGAAAGAAAAAGACAAGCATGACTCTTGTTTCTTTTTGTTGTTGTTGTTGTTGTTGTTTTTCATTTTTCATTGATTTTTTTCATACTTCAATTTGTAGTATGTTATCAAAGTAATTTACTGTGACACTAATTTCTTGGTTTGTTTCCCCCTCCATAAGTCCCAGTCCTATTCTTCTTCATAGGCGTATACAGGTATGTTTGATATGCATTCTTTTTTTTTTTTTTTTTTTGAGACGGCGTTTCGCTCTTGTTACCCAGGCTGGAGTGCAATGGCGCGATCTCGGCTCACCGCAACCTCCGCCTCCTGGGTTCAGGCAATTCTCCTGCCTCAGCCTCCTGAGTAGCTGGGATTATAGGCACGCACCACCATGCCCAGCTAATTTTTTATATTTTTAGTAGAGACGGGGTTTCACCATGTTGACCATGGTTGGTCTCGATCTCTCGACCTCGTGATCCACCCGCCTCGGCCTCCCAAAGTGCTGGGATTACAGGCTTGAGCCACCGCGCCCGGCCTTGATATGCATTCTTAAATGAATATGTGTTTCCTACCAGATAGGTCATATGTTATGTGTTTAAAATTTACACTAATGGTACTATGCTACAGATTCATTTTTTTTCTAGTGAGAATTGATTTTTAGATTTTTCACATTTCTCTGTGCACAGTGCTCTCATGCTGTTTATCACTTCTAACGTTTGTGTAGTAATTCATCCTGTATATTTACTACATTCTACTTACCTATTCCTGTAGTGATGGGTATAACTCCTGGCTGCCACAAAGAATATTCTGGGATGTATTCTCCTTGTGGACCTGAACTAGATTAGACTATTTGCCCAGCACTTGGCTAGTGGGATAAAGAGTTTTTGTACAGTTAATTTTACCAGGAAAACTAGATTGCTTTCTAGAATGGCTCCAACTGTTTACATCCTCTCCAGCAGCACCTCTTCTACATCCTTGCAAATGCTTGTTCTTGAAATGTGTTAGTTTGCATTGTTAAGAATTAGAGCACATCTCTGTATACTTGTCACTCATCTGGACACTTTCAATGAAGTGTTTTTTTCTTCTTCTTTTTTTTTTTGAGATGGAGTTTCACTCTTGTTGCCCAGGCTGGAATGCAGTGGTGTGATCTCATCATGACCTCGGCTTGCTGCAACCTCTCCCTCCCAGGTTCAAGTGATTCTCCTGCCTCAGGCTCCCGAGTAGTTGGGATTACAGGCATGTGCCACCATGACTGGCAAATTTTGTATTTTTAGTAGACATGGAGTTTCTCCATGTTGATCACGCTGGTCTTGAACTCCCATCCTCAGGTGATCCATCCACCTTGGCCTCCCAAAGTGATGGGATTATAGGCCTGAGCCACCTCGCATGGCCTGAACTGTTTATTCTTTTTTTTTTTTTTTTTTTTTTTGAGACGGAGTTTTGCTCTTGTTACCCAGGCTGGAGTGCAATGGCGTGATTTCAGCTCACCGCAACCTCCGCCTCCTGGGTTCCGGCAATTCTCCTGCCTTAGCCTCCTGAGCAGCTGGGATTACAGGCATGCGCCACC